AGTGTTGTGCTAGTGGAAGATTGTGCTGTTGTGCTAGATTTTGATGAATGAATGAGATGGTTGCTCCTGAGTCGATCATTGCATGGACTGGTAGTGAGGAGTTTTGGAAGTGAAGAGTAATTGGAATAGTAATAGGGGATAGCAGAGGATCATTTGGAGATTTGTTATACAGCTCGCCCAGACACACTCCAACTTTACTGTCTAGGCTGAATCTTTTTCCAATTGGAAAGAGATTGCATCGGGCTGGTCGCTAGTCTGTGTAGGCTGAAGGGCCGAGATCGAGGCTGTTGCCTTTGGGGCGTTCTTGAACGAGGGCTTTGCAGGTTTCTTGGGGCAGTCGTCAAGCCAATGATCTGCTGAACCACAGTAGGTGCACAGTCCTTCCTTTTGACGACGAAGACGCTCAGACGGTGGCAAAGGACCATGGCGAGTGGAGAATAATAACCGGGGTTGTGATAGTAAAGGTTATGATGGGAATAGGAATAACGAAACAAAGAGAGGGATCTGTTTAATTCAGGGACGAAGAGTCCTTATGTACTCTTCGTCCTAATGATACACGTGATTATAGCACATAACCCTCCACGGGGGGAGAGGCTGTAAGCCGGGTTTAAGACTAGGGCTAGAAGTAGTGTATCTATGCTAGTAATTGTGTGTGCTTCTTACTAACTGACAAAACGACGTGGAGTAGAGTGCTATGACTAAACGAAAGAGTTGTCGTTTGGATGTTTGAGGGAAAAAAGAAAACCTCATATGAAAGAAGGGGTGTAAGGGAAAAAATCGAAAAAACCTTGGAAGGGCAAAGCCCTGGAGAGCAGGTGTAGAAAAGACAATAATGACTACAGTAGAATATGTGTATATGTGTGTGTGAGGATAAAAAATAAAAACCTCGGTAGATAAGTTGATAAGCTGTGAGGAAAAAATAAAAACCTCAATATAGTGAATTTGATTGCAAGAGGAAAGCGAGAAAACCTCTGCAGATGTATGTTATTATTGTGAGGAAAAAGGTTGTGACACCATTAAAAAACCTCGAACAAATCGTCAGAGCGATTTCTGTTCAAACAAAACGTCGATGCGTTTTATGTGTCAATCGGAGGATATGATTGTCTTCAATCCTTCCCGATCCGAGAACGAGTTCTAGGTCTCAACTCATTGATTTTTGATTGACTGGACTGAGTGAGCTTATTGCGATTAAGGTTGTGTTCACCTTTTTTAGGTGTGAACTTGTTCTTCTTTGTGTTCAAGCGATTGCTACTTTGAGGTTCGCTCATTAGTTCGTCGGTAGTAAGCATTGGCTGATCCGTTTGCGAATCATGACGAGAGTGCGGACGAGGATCCTCATTACGGGGTGGGTGATCGGCCCAATAGTCCGTGATGCATTTCCTCTCAACAAAATTGTCCTCTGGTTCCCAGGTGTTGTCGTTATCAGAATAATTTCTCCACTTGACAAAGTACTCCCATGTCCCTTCCTTTGTACTACGAGCGTCAAGAACTTTCTCGACTTCGTACGTAAGGAAAGAGTCTGGGTCTTCATATACAAGTTTGAGCTGCGAGGGCGCATAGTTACGACCAAGCATAGAGCCAGTGCCATCTTTGAGGATGTATGCACCGCCCTTGTTTTTACGAACAACAGTAAACGGTCCTTCATATCTCGGAGAGAGGGAGTCTCCTTTGATAGGATCAACCGCCATAACTGTGGAACCATCAGGAAATTCGCTGTGCAGTATCGTTTTATTGAATCTCTCAATCATTTTCCGCTGATTAGATTTCGCCTTCGCTTCAATAGCGGGGAACACGATCGTAGTCATAAATTCGAGTCTCTTCAGCAAGTCTTCGTGGGACATGACCTGGTTCAAGGGGTCAGTGTAGTTGTAGTGTCCGTTTTCCTTGCGTGCGAAGAAAAGAGAGTAAGGCGTGGAACCATGCAAACTCGCAATATTTGCATTGAGGGCAAATTGGGCCATGGGAACATGACGATCCCACTCGTGGTTTTTGCCTTTGGTCTCTTTTCGAAGAATTTCTTTGACCGCTTTAACCCGGTTCTCGGCTAGTCCATTGCCTCTCGGATGATAGGGTGTGACAAGACGGTGATGGATACCCAATTGTTCTGTCATTATTTTTGTGACCTGATTGGAAAATTCTTTTCCGTTATCTGATTGAAGGACTCGGGGGAATCCGATCAGAGTAAAAATGTCAAACAGCGTGGTCGCAACAGTAGCGGCTGTTTTATCAGGTATAGCTCTCAAAATAACGAAGCGGGTGCATACGTCTGTCAGGACGAGAAGATATTTGTTGTTTTTCGAGGACAAATGGAATTCACCAGCGAGATCTACAGTCATATGCTCGCCTGGTAAATGTGCATGAATAGCCTTGAGGGGATGGTACCCTTTGCGAGTGATATTAATGCGTTGACACTCAGGGCATTGTTTGACGTGCTCAAGACAATCCTTGACCATGAATGGCCACGTCTTGTCTTGGGCGTGAATTTTGTCAACCATTTTGTTCGCACCAATATGACCGAGGGAGTGAACCTCAGTCATGAGTGAAGGACGGTCTTTCGCTGCGACAGTGATTCTAGGAACCGATTTGTCTTTCAGCATATGAATGTAGCCGTACACTTTCATTGGTGTTTTCAACTTAGGCCTGTCAGTCCACAACTTCTGAGGGAACTGACGAGATAACGCATCAGGTAACACATTGAGTACTCCAGGACGGTAAACAATGTTGAACGAGTAAGCCATGATGGTGTCAAACCAAGTTGTCATCATTGGGTTCAAATCTTGCTGTGAGTGAAGAAAAGTAAGAGCCCGATGATCGGTGAACAAGGTAAAATGGTAACCCCAAAGATATTGATGGAATTTTTTCAATGCGAAAACAATCGCTAATAACTCCTTCTTAGTAGCGGAATATTTTCTCTCTCGGTCCTGCAGAGTGCGAGCCATGAAAGATATGTAGTTGACGTTCGAGGGAACGGACTGCATATCCTTCGGTTCGGGTACACCTTCCGGCAACTGATACAGTACCGCACCAATTCCAACGTTGGACGCGTCCGTGGCAACGTAGAACGGTCGACTGAAGTCTGGGAAGGATAACACGGGAGCTCGTACAAGTAGTTCCTTGAGTCCATTGAAAGAATCCATTTCATCTTTTGATAATTTAAAAGTTCCTTCTCTATGACGAAGTGCATCAAGTGGTGCAGCAATAGTACTGTAGAGAGGGATATATTCACGAAAGAAATTGAGGGTACCCAAATACGATTGCACTTGTTTGGCGGTGGTAGGTGGTGCCCATTTGTGAATGTTAGCCAACTTGGTAGGGTCGACTTTCTTTCCAAAGAGATCAACAATGAATCCCAGCAGAGAGATCTGTGTGCTGAAAAAATTGCACTTGTTCTTGTTGATGATCAATTTCGCCTCGTTGAGTCTTTCGATCACACATTTGACATGAGCTGCATGCTCTTCTCTGCTCTTTGAAAAGATAACAATGTCATCAATAAAGTTCAGAACAAAAGGCAAATCGTCAAGGATGCGAGACATACCTCTTTGGAACAAGCTCGAGAGTGGCTTCAGACCAAAGGGGGCCTTTTTTGAACATGTATTGTTTTCCCTCATGCATGAAAGCAGTGAGGTGCCTGTCTTCTTTATGAATAGGTAGACGATGGTACGCCTGTGTAAGGTCGATGGTGCTGTAGATGGAATGACCAGCTACTTTTTGCATAATATCGGAGATGAGAGGGAGAGGGAAATTATCCTCTGGTAAATGTACATTGAGAGCACGAGGGTCAAGACACACTCGCCACAATGACTTTTTCCCATCCAAATCCTTTTTAGCTGCAAGTGTGAGGGTGTTGTTATGTGGGTTGCCAGCAGGTGCAAGCTCGATCACATCATCCTCTAGCCAGCGTGCGACCGTTTCATCCAATATGGGTCTCTGGGAGTGAGCAAATTGTCTAGGTCGTCGATATACAATGGTACCTTTTGGAACAGGTAGATACACCATCATCTCAGGAACGGGGCAATGACTTGTCTTTGAGATATTTTCATTGTCTTTGAGTGCTTTGCTGATGGCATCTAGGAATCTTCCTTTCATGCGCTTAAACTCAGCGGTGAGTTCCTCTTCAGGGGTGGTAATCGGACGCAAAGATGGTTTCTCGTCTTCAACGGGAACATCATGTGCAGGTGACATCTCTTTTATTTCTGGGAGACCGCAGAGAGCGAAGCCCATATGATAAAAAAGATCCATTCCGATTGTAAGAGCAAACTCTTGATCTTCGATTATTTCAAAAGGGGCAGAGAGAAACCGACCATTGAATTCGAATTCAACTTGATCAGTTACACCAATGCGTTCGACAATAGTCTTGTTTGCTAGTGTAAAATTACCAAGGATCTTAGTGAAAGGAATGTTATGTTCCTTGACTATGTCCTGTCTGATAAAAGAATGTGTAGCACCAGTATCTATTAACGCATGGTGTGTCCTCTTGAATGCACGGATTTCGATTCGAAATCTATTGTCGTGTTCTACTGCATCCTTAATAGCAGCATAGTGTCTGATAGTTAATTTGTCAGATGCGAAAGTGTCGAGTTCCTCAGTCGTCATACCAAAGCTACTGTCATCGTCACTGTGGTAGTCCATGTTAGCCTGACTTTGAGAAGCAAGGTTAGACAGGCTAGCAAAAGACGGTTCTTTTGTTTCAAAGTATGGCACAGAGACAAAGGCAGATTGTTTTGTTGGCAATGAGCGAAACGCGTATTGGGGTCGTGCACTCGTAGGTGCAGGTACATCCTTATCAGTTGTAACTGATTGTTCGCTATCCGGTAAAGGGGTTACAGACAAATCATTTTCTGTAGTCACAGACACATTATTTTCTTCTGCTGAAGAAGTATGGACAGCAAGTGAAGGAGACAGAATTGGACCAATAGGGATAGTGTTAGAACCAGTCAGTGGTAATTTTTTATTACTAAGTTCTGTTATGACAGGAGAGGGAAGTGTCATGTCGTTCGTCTCTACGAGGTCCTCAGGTACACTTGTCTGTAGAGAAATAGTAGCATGAGTGAGCAAGGTTTGATCAGACACAGAGAAAAATTCAGATTCAGAAAAAGGAGGTATAGACAATTTACCTTCTTTCTTGTTCTTGTAGCTCTTGCCGCCCTTGCTGTCAGAGTTCTTCTTGCGATCACTGTTGCAGTAGGGGGCAGTGTGGCCATTCTTGTTGCACTTGGTGCAGTGCCTGCAGTTCTTGGTATCATGCGAGCGATTTTCACCGTGATTGTCACAGTGGAAAGTCTTCTTGCCAGAGTTAGACGAAGATGGGAACGACGACGAATCAGCAGTCGGTTTGCCTTTGCCACTGCGGTCGTTCTTGCGGTGACGTTGTCGCTTGTGACCATGGTTATTACCGGTCTTGGACGAGGAGGCATCCTTGTCATCTTCATCATCGTCGACGAGACTGTGGGGTCTCTTGAGAGAGTCGTCTGGTCCTTCCATTACACTGAGGTTGGTAAGGATCTCACAAATAGAGTCCAGCTTGACCTCAGATAAGGAGGTGCCAGTCTTTTGAATCGATGTCTTGATCAGGTTGAGCTCCACCGATGGGATTGAACTCATGATGCCAGACAGTACAGTGGCGTTGTTATCATCAATTCGATACACGCGCACTGATCGTTGGAGACGAAGAGCGAAGTTTCGGTACGACTCCTTGTGACGACGGCCAATTTCGGCGACACGAGCAACGGTTTTGAAGCGTTCCGTCGGAGTCAAAACACTGTCGACGAAGGCAACTTCACATTCCTCCCAAGTTAGGGAAGAACTGCCGTGACGAGACAGCTCATCAGTGAACTGCTGTCGTGTCTGATCGTCCAGAATCGCCATACAGAGCAGGCGTTGGGCACTGGCGAGGAAAGGAGTCTCGTCTTGAATCCATCGAGGAACAAGTGAGGGTTGCGGATGACTTGATACGATTGTCCCTTGCCGTGCTTGATGTCACCAAATCGGGGAGTGCCCGAGTCGAGTGTCAATTTGTTGCTGTCAACCCTGATAGCGGTGGCAATAGTTGCCGTGGGATCGGTCACGATCGGTGCCATCGGTTGGTCGAGAGCCAGTGCTGCTGACAGACGCGCACAATCCGCGGTCTTTTGGCGCACGACTTCTAAGAGTTGGATGGCTTCCTTCTGCCACATCTGGTAATTGACATCGAGAGGGTTCTTGTGCATCTTGAGCAGGGTGCGACGGTATAGCTTGGACCAATTAGAAAGATCGTGTTTCTTGGTGGTGATGGCTTCCTCAAGACCGCTGGTGAGCTCGGAGTCACTCACGTCGTCAGCATCCGTCATGGCAGAAAAAGTGTTCGGGTCGAAGACTGGAGAGGGCTGCATGTGCTGGTTTGCCGACAAGATGGACGAGGCCTGTTCGTTGTCATCGCTCATAATGATGTCCTCTCGGAATACAGGGACGGGGGATGGAGCGACAACAAAGGTGCCGGTGGCATCGATAGCCAAGTCTTGGAGAGTGGGTAACTCGTTGTTGTCAGAGTTGTCAGACATAGGAGTGATGATTTGTGATTTAGAGTGAGAGTGTCGGACAAAAGTTCAGAAGTTCTTGAGTGGATCGAAAAGTTGCCTTTCTTGTTAGGGAAGAGGTTTCTTTTAAATACTCATTACCGACACGTGTCATGGCAGCGTAGATTTTTAATCCGTATGCAACGTTTGCAGTGTTATAGCAAGGATGTTGTTTGTACCTAGTAATGGTGTAAAGGGAGCATTTATTTTCCTTTATTTTCCAATTAGCAAGCAAAAATAACAAAGATAAAAGAGTGAGGCTCTTTGCTGTTGTTTCTGTCAGCATTTATTATTTTGATTTCGCTGCTATTCGCATAGGTGTCACAGATCGCTACTTATGTATGCTAATTGCTCTTCGGTCATATCCGAGGGTGACATAGGTTCGAGGTTGCGTCTGACAGTCTCCGGTGATGGAGGTGCGAAGGAAAGAAACAAATGCAATCGCTCGATTAGGAACTCAACATCGACGAAAATACTAGAGATAGTGTTTATTTCTATTGAAGCATCATACACAACCTAAGGATTAGACTGCGTACGGGAGTTAAGGTACGTCAGGCGCTGCTCGTATGTACGGGCGAAAGATTCCCAGGCTTGTCGTGCTTCCAACATGTATCGAAGCTCCTTTTCTTTCTGATCTAGGTGTTGCCTCACCAACGTCAGCTGATCGTATTCCTGCTGCGAGGTGCAGGAGAGAAGCCTCTCGTACACCCGCCCGGCCTGAGCAAAGAGCTCTTGCTGTTGCTGAGTGTAGGCCACTAGCTGTTCTTGTTGGAGAGAGGTCCACCAAGCCTGAGGAATGTTCTCCGAAGATGGTGCCGGTGCAGACAACAGTACAGGTACAGGTGAAGAGACGGGTATAGGCGAGGAGACTGGTGGAGGCGATCGGTCTTCCGCGACTTGCGAGAGCGGGTCCTGTGAGAGACAAACCGTCTCATCGGCCTCATGATCGATACAGTCTTCATGCTCAATACTGTCCTCTTGCTCGATGCTGTCCTCCTTGGACCAGTTGTTAGACGCAGACAGTTGCTGTTGTGACGACTCCAGCTCGTGTGCAAAGCGAGTGTTCTTGACTGGCCTTTTGGTGCCATGGGTGGAGCGGGTTGAGGTCATTGTGAAAGTTGGTAGTGAAGGGTGTTTGTGTGAATGGGATGGAAAGCGAAGAATGTGGAAAGAAGTTGTTTCTTTCATCCTCTCTCTCTTTTCTCATTCTTTTTATGTCTCTTCCTTTTCTTTTCCTGAATGCCAATTGGATCAAGGAAATCAGGACGTGGTGCATGGTGATTGGTCGAGACACTCATGCAAAGATGGCGTGCTTGTAAAAGCGAAAAGAAAAACAACTCATTCTCATGCATACATGTCTTGTGCCAACAGCGCTTGCATCATCCGCGGAGAAGATAAATAAAAAATATAACACGATGCATGATGACATCGATTTTTCTACATCATCTACTGATGAGGGTGATGACATCGTCTTTCATTGTGCATCCTGTGATCTGCAGGTGAAGACTCACCTTCGATGACGCGCAGGAGCAAACATGCTATTGTGCGGGAGTATATTTTATCCTTGTGATTAGGCTTGAGTCATGAGGGAGAGAGAAGTACAACGATTCAAGAGAGAAAACAAAACTGTATTAGTCAGTTCTTTTTATTTAGAGTTGTGTTTGAGATCTTGTTACTACTGATCCTGCCGTGGCGACACAACTTGCTGATGTTGTTCTTCCGTCTCCTCGTGCGTGGAGTGTTGTTCAGCGTCAGGTCTGTTTGTTTGTACAGCCGAACTCCTTTTTGTGACGTATGGCCGATGAAAGTAGTTGTGCGTGTCGAGGCGTCGAGAGGGAGGAAATGCGACTCTCCTCTGCCAATAATCATCGAAATGGGATAGGGTGCGCTTGACAACCTGTATTTTTGTCTCCAATCCTTCCATCATATGATTGTATTTCCAGTACTCCTGGTCCTGGAGGTCGATGGTGGTACCGATGTCAATGGGTGGCTCGGTTTCCGAGTCGAACATGCCGTGCATATCGCACAGTCGGTGGATGGTTTGGGCGGCAGCGTATGTCTTCGAGGATTGAAGGTGTACAAGAAGGGATTGGGCGTTTCGTATCGCTACAGTGCCTATCCTGCCTTCATCGGGTTGAACCGCCCAGAAGTGCGGTGGAGCAACGTCATGAAGATAGTTGTGAGTCGGTCGCTGGGGCGTTGTAGTGCTGTTCCTTCTGTCAGCGTATGGGTGCGCGCGTGTGGGCGACGTCCTTCGTGGCGGTGTTCTGCCGCTGTCGCTAGTAGAGCGAGGAGGGGACGGGGTATTGTCTCCTTGGGGACCAGATGAGGGAGCGTTGTCATCGTTCATGATGTGTGTGTTTTGTTGCGCTGTCGAGAAGGAGAGTTGTTGGGAGATGGTAAAGGTGTGTTGACAAAGTGTTTTACTTTTTCATTCCTCCTCCATCCTTCTCACTTGTGATCTTGTGCAAAGTTCTCACAAAGCGCATTCATCGCTACCTGATGGTCATCTGCCATTGGTTCATGCTTGAATCACGCCATCCCATAGAAAATCTTGAGAATCAACAAACGATGACATCGTCTTTTATTTTCAACATCATGTGACACTAATCGTCAGTGGAGATCTTACCTGCGGTGAGGTTTTGTCTCTGCTCAAGCATCACAATCGATGCGAGGTCGTGCTTTTGATACCCTTGAGTATAAGCGGTAGTGGTTCCAGTGTTTTCAGACTGGAGTGGTGCCAGTAGTGAGACGGTGCTCTGTCAGCTGCATGGCTGACCTTCCATACGGTGATGGGTGTGCATTCATTCCTTTCGTGTCTTTTTTTTTTTTTTTTTTTTTTTTTTTTTAGAAAAGTGAATGCGTGTAGGGGTGTGTGAAGTGGGGAAGATCCCTATTGTGAATTCGTTAAGAAAAATGGAGAATAATAACCGGGGTTGTGATAGTAAAGGTTATGATGGGAATAGGAATAACGAAACAAAGAGAGGGATCTGTTTAATTCAGGGACGAAGAGTCCTTATGTACTCTTCGTCCTAATGATACACGTGATTATAGCACAGCGAGCATGCGAGAGATCCATGTCCATCGAAGTGGTCGCGGGAGCTGAGGTAGCAGGGGTGGACGCGGTAGTTGGGGTGGATGAGGCTTGAGTGGTAGTAGAAGTGTGGGCAGTGGTGGAACGGGACGGAGTGCTGGAAGATTTGTTGCCGGAACGGGTCACTGCATAGCCGTACTGTCGGTTGTCGATGTCGATAGCCAATTGTGAAAACTCGGCAAAGGTAGGTGGCTCGGGGTAGTTTGCCATGGCTTCTTGAACAGACTCCTTCAGGCCGAGGCGGAACTGTGAAATCATTGCGCTATCATTCCATGCTGTATCCGCTGCAAGGTTGACGAAACGGTTTGTATAGTCGATGGCAGAACCGCGCTGTCTAAGTTGACGGAGTTGGGTTTCTGCTAGGACGTGAGCATTGGAGACTCCAAAGTTCTTACTCATAAGAGCAAAGAACTGATCCAGGTTAGAAATACATGCGGGTCTCTCCTCGACAGGCAACTTGAAGGACGGAACGTATCTCTGCATGTACTTGAACGCTGCAGTATCACCGAGGCGCGAGATAGCCAGCACAATGCGGTCGTGGTCGTTCGGATAGAGGGTCTCGTTTGCAACGAAGAAGAGTTCCAGCTGAGCCTGAAACCCTTTCCAATCTTCACGCTTGCCGGAGAAGACTGCGGGGGGTGCTACTTTTGGCCTCGAAGGGGAGCTATTGCTGGAGTGAGGTGTAGTTGATTGGAAGATGGCACTCACTGTGTTGGTGACATCGGTCTTGTGATCATAAAATAGTTTGCCTAGTTCTGCGCGAGTGATGGGTGGTAATTGTGACGTCATCTTCTGGACGTTGGATTCGAGGCTGAGTAATCGAGGGTTGAGGTTGACGGTCAGGCTTGTGAAGAAATCTTCGTTCGAAAGAATGAAGTCCAGCATATCACGGTACTTCTGAACAGTCTCCTCGAGTTCGGTGACTTTGGCTTGCAAGGGAGTGACCGTCTGAACTATTTGTTCAAGTGTGGCTACTCGGTCCATCAGTGCTTGGAAGCGCGCGTTGGCTGTAAGGATCTCACTATCGGGTAGCATTGTAGTTGATACGGAAAGTGAAGAGTTGTTGTAGTTTCTGAGGGTTGTGGGTTGTGTACGGAAGATGGTAGTAAAAGAGGAAAGAACTTGAAGAAGATAGGGTTTGGTTTTGTTGTGGAAAAGGCTTTTTTTTTTTTTTTTTTTTTTTTGAGCGCTGAAGTATATCAATAGAAAACAGACAAAGTTTGATCCAAGGTTCTTTAGGTGTATGACTTGGTATTGTCAAGAAAGCAGACCAAGCAATAGAATGAAGTAGATAAAGAGAACCTTGATCAAGGACTAAGAAATGAGTATAAGGAATAGGTTAAAGAGTATGTTGTATTGGCGATACCAAGTAAAGAGCTATAGATTTGCTATCTAAGGCCCTTTTATACTCGTTAGGGCGAAGTCACAAGAGCAAGCTCTTGTCTCGTGACAGTTCCCTCCATGAAGCGGTACGACATGATGGTTTTAGTCAGCAGGGGTGTGTTGCTCAGGGCGAGGCTTGCTGTTGCCTTGCTGCAGCTTCTAGAGTCGTGTCCAGTAATGCCGCATCCCACGCAGAAGGCCGGGGCGTTTCTCCAGAAGAAGTACGTGTTCCAGCGGAGAAAGTTGGCGATCCTGGGCAGCTGTGGGTTGGACGGGATGTTCTCATGGAACGTGAGTCGAAAGGATATGTTACCGTCCTTGATTGTGTGTGTTGGGTGTCGAATGTACCCAAAGCTGATGTTGTCAACGGTCCCATGGTTACCGAAGATAGCCGTCAGTTCGGTCTGGATCTGTTCCAGATTTTTGGTGGAGGCGATGTTGTTGGCGAAGATCGTCTCCTCCACTCCCGAGGTGTACACCGTCTTGGATGGCTGAATCCAGAAGGTGGTTGTGATCTCCAGGGGGATGTTAAGGGCAAAGTCAAACTCAGCCTTATCCTCGAAAATCGCTGCCATATATTTATGGACTTGGTCGAATCGCAGCTCCGTCACGCCTCTGACTTGGTCTGCGATGGCATTCATCACCTGGGTGTATGTGATGCCCTGGGGCGTGTCCTTCTTGCCGGGAAGGGTGTAGGCCAGGACATAGTCGTCCCTGAACACGGTCGCGGGGAGCGTGTCTGCTACTGGGCGATACTTGCCCGCTGCAGCCTTTTTCGCCCATGTTGCTGTTGACTCCAGGGGTGGGCGAAACACAACCGGTTGTTGCTGTTGTTGTTGTAGTTGTCGTTGTTGCTGTTGTTGATGCTGTTGCTGTTGTGGTGGGTTCGAGGTGTCGGGGGTTGAATTCGACTTTTGGTGGATGGGTGGAAGAGTCCCAGATCCATCCATCGCCAACCTGGGCGCTGCAGATGCCGATCCGGTTCCAGTTTCTGGATTCGGGTCGGTACCTGGCGGAACTGTTTCTGCCGCCAGGGCCATGTCGTGATTGACCGACATGGGTAGGTGGGGGATAAAAAAGAGAAAAGAGGGGTAGTAGAAAGGGGAAGGGGGGCCGTCTGGGGCGGGGTGCGAAATATATAAAACTTGTGCAAAGGGGAAGAAAGAGTTGCTCTACCATTTGAGCTAGATCCCCTGTTCAGGCTTTTGCTTTGATGAATAAATACTTTGGTCGGACATACATATACATATGCTATTATGTAAATTGCACTTATAGAATGAAACTTTTTTTTTGGGCCAGAAAACGGCCCTACGAAAAAAAAAAAAAAAAAATTGGCACCCGAGACTACCACTGAGATCTGGAAGGAAGCCATGGGCAAGATTAACGAGTGGGGTGTGCAGGCGACAAACAGCTACAACGCAGCCAGGAAGCGGGAATACAAACGCTCGGTGGACAGCGGTCGTCAGTTACCAAGGCCAGTACCCATACACTGGTGGCCCCCTTCGGATGCGGATCATGTACAAGGATTTTCCTCCATCGGTGGAGCTCGAGCCGTGCACAGCGGTAGTCCAGCTCCCGATCGAGACGAGAAACCGATGTGGAATGTGTCGGATCTCCTCCGCGGCATCACCCCCTTGAGCATGTTGACTGAATGGTCCGCGGTCTTCCGGACCCCAATGTCCATCGCCAAGACAGTCCTTCACAAGTTTGTTGGCTACCTGGAGGCGCAGGCCTCGGAGCTGATCTGGAAACCTCGGTGCTCCGCTACGATCGCGTGGGAACAAAGCCAGGGCATCTCTGCCAAGGACAAGACATCTAAGTACACAGGCCCTCGAGGTGACTGGAGTCAAGGACACGGTTACATCACGCACGATGGTTTCTGTCCGTGCGGCGCTTCGCTAGCCACACATGATGAAGGAGGGTGCCCTGGAGCGACCAAGGACCCACGCGCTGCTGACGAGTGGTTGTTGGAGAGTTTGTTAGGAAGGAGGAGGTTGTCAATGATGGAGAGGATGGGAAGAATCCCTTTCATTCGTATCTAGTTTTATTTTCTTCCGTTTAAGCAGTGAAGAGCAGCGACAATTGTTGCGCAGAGCCAGGTTCTGGACCGGATTGCGACTGGTGGATGGTGCACTGAAGAGTTTGGTCTGTAGTCCCCTTTTACTTCCAAATAACTTTTCTATGCTGTTTGTTAGAGAAATAAAATTGTGCACGAAAAAAAAAAAAAAAAAAAAAAACTTGTGGAGAAACGCGTGTTAATTTTTTTTTTTTTTTTTTTTTTTTGGCGCAATAGCAAGTAGGATGAGGTGGGGGTTTGCTTAATGATGGACAATAGCAGCAACTCTATCGATAGCCTTGTATTTCCGTCCGTCTTTGTCCTGAAGAGGGGCAGCGGTTGTCGCGCTGAGTCAGGTTCCGGACCGGACAGTGACTAATCTATGACACTTGAGAAGAGTTTACAAATAGTCCTTTATTTGTAGATGCCTACCTTGGGCTGCTAGAGAGATGCTAGTACCTATCATCAAGTAAAGTTAACTGCACTAGATTGCGTAAAAAAACATAGTGCACTTGTGGAGAGCTGCGATTACCCCGTGTGGAACGTGTCGGATCTCCTTTGATATTTCCGAAGTTTGTGGCGGGCCGTGTTCCCTTGGTAATCATTGTGAGATACCACGGCCAGGGTAGTGGGTTGTGCGCGAGAAAGGCCAAATATCTTGAGATATCTGATAGGCTGTAGACGATGATATGACTCTTGGAGACGGGCCGCCATAAGGTAACAACCAATTCATACGCCAGGGTGTCACTGTCGGTAGAGATGATGATGTCGTCCTCTTGAACCCCTGTGCAATCGCCAGATCCGCCTCCGGTGCACAAACAACGACGATCCATCCGAGCCTTTGCATATACTCTGCAAACTCTTGGCGACTCGCTAACGACTAATAAAATGACGATGGAACTCTACGCTTGATGTCGGTGTAGTGGCCTTTCCTGATCCTCATGTCATCGTTTAGCCGCGATTCGAATGTGTTCAGACTGTTCTTGACCTTCACCAACTTCTTTTCGCGGGTCTCTTCTCGTGCCCGAACCGTTTTCTCCTTCTTCACCGCTTGAGGTCTGTTAATGAATAGCTTCATGTTGGCCTTGGCTCAAATCGCTCAATGTCCTTCTCCAGAATCCGATGGGCGGCTTCCTGAGACTTGTTGGAGTATGCGTCACGGATGACCCGGTAGCAGTTGGCCAACACGTCGAAGAGGCGATGTCCTGTTGTTAAGCTGGTGATGATGGAGATGTAAAGTTGCACAGGGTTATAGCTTTTTGACTGGTGCCTTTCCTGCGGATAACGGGGTACCAGTCAAAGAGCCCCATGGTGGATGTCGCTTGCGCATGTGCTGTTGAAGTGAAGGAAAGGAGTGGACAGTTGATTGCTGAAGTTGTATCGAATAGACGGTGAAGTTTGGCAAGAGCATGTCATTCCTTATTGCCAGTAATTATAATATCATTTATTTCCACGCACATAGCCCACTCGTGACGTAATAACACTTGGAGGGGAGAGGGTTTCTGTCAAAATCGAATTTTGACCGCACAGCATCGCCAACAGACCCTCCCTTTTACGCCATCGTCTTGGACGTCGACAATCACACGCCGACCTGAGGAGCTTGACACGCCCATGTACAAACACACGCACGAAGACGACTACTCAGAGTCTTTGAATGGGTAAAGCCCTGTTTGTTTCAGTCGATTCAACACTTCTTCCCAAGAGAGGCGGTGTTGTAAAGGCTATTGTTTCAAGGAAAACGACCTCCCGTGGACTCTGCATAACTGACTTGAAATGCTATGTGCTTGGCTACAACAATAGTGGATCCAAGCGGATCAAAGATACTGAACAGGCTCCTATCATGTCAGACTTCATATACCCAGAGGCAACTTCCAGTGCTTCTCAAGCGCCAAGGGTAATGATCCATGTACGATCTATTTGTTTTTGGATGTGATTAGCACGGATATCTAACTTGGCGTCGTTTTTTGGTTCTTAGCCTCTCAACCTCCCTCAACGTGTCTCCAATGGAGGTGCCAAAGTGGATATGACGCCCTGGCAACACAAACGATGCACGGATATCTTGAAAGAGCTGAAGAAAAACCCAGCTTCATTGGACTTTCGCTATCCTGTCCCTTATCAGGAAATGCGGCTCTTCGACTATCCCGAAATCGTCAAAAACCCCATGGATCTCTCGACTGCCGACAAAAAGCTCAAGGCACGGAAATATGAGGCGGTCGATGATTTTGTCAGCGACATCAACTTGATCTTTTCCAACTGCTACCTCTACAATGGACCGCCAGGACCGATGGCTGTCGTGTCGGAGCATGCCGCGAAACTCGAAGAAGTATTCAAAAGCGCGCTGGCCAAACTGCCTGTGGTGGTAAGTGGATTATTCATAGTGTGGTTACACCTCTTTCTTTTTAGGATATATTTTGATAATGGACAGAACAATTAATTGTGTGGTTTTTCATTGCGATAGGAACCAAAAATGGCCCCAGAGCCTGTTGTAATCAAGGCGAGCCCCAAAAAGCCCTCAGCGCCAAAGCCCAGGAAAGATGTCGTCAAAAAGGAGGAGAAAAAGCAGGAGGTCAAGCTGATGCCTGTCCAGCTTGTCGCTCCAGCATCTACCGCCATGACCAGCATGCACCAGGAGCACACCCGGGCGGAGTCAGAGGAGCGGCGGCCAAAGCGGGATGTTCAGGCGCCTTCAAAGGAGATTCCGATAGCCAGCTCAAAGCGGAAAGGGCAGGGGAAATGGAAATCTGATCCTCAACTGCGTCATTGCCAGAATATCTTGAAAGAGTTCGCCAAAAAGTCTAACGCAGAGTTCATGTTTCCGTTTCTGCAGCCTGTGGACTGGAAGACGTTCAAACTATTCAGCTATCCAGATATCATCAAAAACCCCATGGACGTGTCAACTATTCGAGCTAAGCTGGAATCGGACGAGTACGACAACGCGGAACAGTTCGAGGCGGACGTGCGACTTATGTTGAACAACTGCTACACATTCAACCCTCCAACAGACCCCGTCCATCAGATGGGTCAGCGACTGCAGAAGTTGTTCGAGGGAAAGTGGGCAGAGTTGCCTCGAGAGCCGACACCCCCTCCAGTGGAAGAAGTGACCATTGACTCTGAAGAGGAATTGGAAGAGGAGCCAGATGTGGATTCTTCAGGTACGCTTTGCACCATTTTTTTGCAATTCATTGTTATGATTACTTTGTGCACTATGATCGTGTTTCTCATTATTTCAATTTTCCACCTTTGTTATTTGGATGTTCAGATGACAAAATTGCTGCTATGGAACGGGATTTGAAGACTCTGTCAGAGAAACTGGAGACCATGAAGGCGACAAAAAAGAAGGAGAAGAGCAGCAAGCAACCATCTACTTCGAAGTCATTGCAGGAGAAACCACCAAAATCCAAATCATCGACTTCGACAACCAAATCCTCATCCAAGACGCACGAGCACAAGGCGTCCAGCTCAAAGAGGTCGAGAGCTATGTATGGCAGCAGCGACGAAGACGACGACGTCCCGACCATAACACTCAAGCAGAAGCAGGAACTCAGCGAGAATATCAGTCGACTGGAGGGAGAAAAACTGGCTAAGGTGATCCAGATCATTCACAGGAGCATGCCCCAGCTGCGCGATGTAAGTTCCATTCCATCTATTACAGTTTTCTTGTTCAACGTTGATCTATCAGAGCCAATCTGTTTCAGCAGATACTAACGGCTCTTCTTTTCAACTATTATAGAACGGTGGTCAGGACGAGATTGAACTTGAAATGGATGCATTGGATCCTGCCACTCTTCGTGAGCTGTATTTGTATGTGCGCAAGAATTCCGCGGCGAAACGGAAACGTCCCGAGCCCAAGAAGGTCAACGTTCAGTATGCGCAGGAGGACTCGGTCAAGAAGATATCTGAGCTGGAAGGCAAGCTTCAAAAGTTTGACGCGTCTTCAAGCCATGGTATGTTAACTGTGAAGTGATTTCCATGGCTGTTGTATGTAATTGACGATTGGCTAGCATGTACATGAATGCTAATGAAGCTAATGGTTGTCATGGTGTAGCAAACGGCAATTTATCGCACTCTAGTGACCTTTCGGAATCCTCCGACTCTGATTCCGACTCCAATGACTCAGGTATACACTACACCCCCTTTGCCACTTTGTAATGTATATGGACATTGAAGAAAGGTAAGGACACCCAACTTTGCGCTGTGTTGCATATTTACTAAAGTCTCCTTTTGGATTCCCTTCTCTCCGTCTTGTAGAACCAGTGCGTCCATCAGCCCGTAAGTCTAAAAAGGCGACAAGTCCACCGCCTTCCAAGTCAAAGCAGGAGGCACCATCTCATAGATCAAGGCATGAGGCGCCTTCTCCATATCGCAAGCCAACGCCTCCTCCATCCCACAAGCCAAAGCAGGAGTCACCACCTCCATCTTACAAACCAAGTCAAGAGACAGCGCCCATACCTCGCAGGCGAAAACAATCAACACCTCCACCGCCTTCGCGCAGGTCAAAGCCATCAACACCGCCTACATCACGCAAGTCAACTCTGGACTCGCTTTGGCCAAACGACTTGCAAGGAGGCACTAAGACTGCTATGTCTTTTGACGTAGCCCCTCTCGATCTGAAGGCCATTAGTGCAGTCACCTCGAACGCGACTAAGGATAAGGAGGTCCACAGCCGCAAGCAGAGCATTGTAAGGTTGATTGACTTTTTCGCGCTATGGACACGTGCAGGTTGGTGCAAGCAGAATTACTTATGACTATCTTTTATCGAAATAGGAGGTGACCGAGCTTGAAAACATGGAGCATTGGGCTGCGTTTCCTGCTGAGATTGAACCAAGCTCGTCTTCCAACCCGTCATCATCCCGTCAGGGCGAGGTGCAGAAATCTGAGAAAGACAAGGCTTACGAGAAGTTTATGGCCGAAGAAAAGAAGGTATTGTCTCACATTCGTGTTGTAAACGATTGTCCGTGTTGTCATCCTGTTACCTTTGCTGCCTGTGAATTCCTTCTCATTTTTTAACATTGTCCTTGATACAACATAGAAACAACAACTTCGCGACGAGCAGTTGCGCAGAGAGGCGGAAGTTCGTGAGGAGAACGAGCGCCGACGCGCCGAGGAACGTCAGCGCGCCGAGGAGGATCTTAGACGCTCTGGGTAAGCATATTGCTCTGTCTGAGAAAGCTAGGTGCATACTTGAAAGTTACGACAGTTACTTATCCTTCATATCTCTGACCTCTAATTGTTTTTCCGTCAATAGCAAGGAGGTTCGTCGCCAAACATTTTTGCGTGAGCAACGGCGCCAGGAAGAACTCCAGCGCCAGCGTGCGGAGGCCCTAGAACGGAAGCGTGAGCTCCTGAAGGCGGAAAACCCACTGTGGGACCAAGCCTACATGATGCAACAGTTCGAGGTTGAGATGGAGCAAGACCGTCGTGAACAGCTCAGACTCCACCAGGAGAAAATGCGAATCGCGCGTGATGCTATCCTTGCGGACCCCTTGTTCAATGATCCGATCGCCTATTACAACAATCCGATCGCCTTCAACAACCCCATGGCCATGTATGGCTCGTACGCCTGGCAAATGGACTCGCCTGATGTCTCGAACGGAATACCTGGCTCGTCTGGCACATCGCCCACACAGTCGTGGTCACCGCCTCTCTCCCAACCACCACCTCCTACTTACTCACCGCCTCCGCAGACTGTTCCACCGCCCCCAGCTCATTCACCGCCATCGCAGGCTGCCCCACCACCACCGCCACCTCCACCACCCCCACCATCGAGCTCGCCTCCACCACCTCCTCCACCCCCACCTCCGACAAGCTCACCTCCACCTCCTCCTCCACCACCACCGGCTCCACCTGCAGCGGATGAGGCTTCAGCTAGTACGCCTCTCGTCCCCGCCCCACCGGCCCCACCGGCTCCGGAGGATGGGTTCGATGAGGACGATATGAACTGCGACGAAGATTAGGTCGTTCCCAATTCATCTCGCACACTGTTGACAACGAGATAAAAAATAAAAACCCCTCCCCCCTTTTTTTTGATGAAGCAGCCACATTCATCGCGTGGAAAATTAGGTCTAAGTTCGACAGTTCGTTTTTGTGCTTACAGCCTGGCCTTTTCAACGCGACGGTCGGACGACTGCTGTTCTGAGTAGCAACCAAGGAAAAGAAAGAAAAAAAACTTCAACACCGCCGTCTTTCTTCTCGCCACCAACATGGACGGCATACTATCGCAAGAAGAGGGCATACTGTCGCAGGAAGAGGGCACGCTGTTGCAGGAGCCATCGCCTGTGTCATCACCCGAGCCATCGCAGTTACCATCTCAGGCCGACCTTCTCCCTCAAGACACCACACCTCCACCATCGACTAAAGTACCAACCACGGAGGGAGACGCAGCAACAACAACAGAACCAACAACTTCAGCAGAAACAGCAACAATAACAGAGACTGAATCAGCTAAGGTAGCCATTACCTTAGAAACAATAGCAACAACAACAACAACAACAACAGCAACGGAATCTGTTCAGGAGCGATCCTCAGAGAATGAACAACAGGGATCCATCCCTCAGAAACGACCTGTGCCCAAGGACGACGAGTCTGCCTCTTCGGGCGAGGATTCATCACCTGCTGCGACAGAATCTAATCAAGAGGACAACGACAACGCTCATGCCCGTGCAGATTCGCCCCCTTCGCCCAAGAAGAGAAGAATATCGGTACGAGTTATCAACGCGTTCGCTTACCAGGATTCTTTTTTTTTTGTTTTTTTTTTTTTTTGTTTTGTTTGCTTGTATTTTTTGGCGGCAGTTCGCACTAACCGAGTCTCTAACGAGTTCTGTTGTGTTTGTTTTCTTTGTAACAGCTTCCAGGGAGGTCAATTCTCAAGTCTGCTGGCGCTGACGACGAGGATTTAACAGGAAACCAGGAGACTCCAGATCATACGGGCACGATTGACAATGGGGAATTATCGGGAGTCGATATTACAGAGACATTCTCGTCCACAACGTAAGCAAAGACACGCATACTTTGTCTTTAACTCAACCTTCTTGCTATCTTGTTGCATACCAGGGATGACATCTAAAACAAGCCTGTCTTTTTGTAACTCTTTTTAGCGAGTTCCTGAAGCGAAGCCGAAAGTCAATTGGAAGACGCGTCAGTTTCGCAGCAACTGCCAGAATCAGGTACGGGACACACTACTGTCATTCAGGAAGATAATCGACAACAGCCTCTGGACATGACAAGGACCGACCAGTCGTGCTGACCAAATTGATACCCATTGTTCTACTAGGATGTTTGAGCGTGACGACAAGGAAGACGAGCACGCAAAGACGATGAGTTTCCTTGAAGGGAACAAAGTAACGGTCAACCCAAACAACATTCCTTTCACATTCCAGAGCAGCAGCCAGTAAGTCGATGGGTGTGTCGTGAACTCGAAGGCATCGAGGTACATTTTCGACCGCAAACTCACTGTCAATTTTCTTCGGGCGTCTAGGGATAATGATACCAACCACACTGCCAGCTCCATGGAAAGCAGTGACCCCATCCAAGATAAGCAGGAAGACGAAAATACTCAAAACTCGCAAACCTCACACGGAAGCAGCGACTCTGAGAAAGAGTAAGTCTCATTTATTCCGTTTGTTTCAAGCTGCGTGCCCGTGGACGTATGTGTCAAACTAATAATATCTTTGCCTTCATTGTCCAATAGGCGCAGTTTTGAGGTCAATGTCGCCCATGGATTTTCCGACACTACTTCAGGAAGTTCAGAGGCAAATAATGGCCTGTATTTGCAGTCCTTGCTCCCCGCGGAAGGATTGGGCAATTTCGATGACATGGGGCACTCGAGCGACAGCAGCAGCGATGACGATATCAACTACTTTCCGGATGCACACCTTATGAAGCGGTCTTCTGGAGTCGGGATCTTTGAAGGCGATCAGGACGCCGATCTTGGTCCCCAATTTGAGATTGGTCAGTCGAGCCAAAGTCCTTTTTCTCAGCAACTGGACCACCTTGATGATGGGACGGGTGACATGTCACTTGTGAGCGAGGACTACAGTATGGACTTCAAGTTCCAAAAGCACAGATCTTCTCTTCCAGGGAGGCAACCAACACCATTCGGTGGAGATAACAAGGCCGAGGATTCGACTGCAGATTTCTCCAACAACCTGCAACTACTTGCCGCGCATGCTGCATCCTCTTCCGCCGCGCCTTTGCAAGAACTTACTGATCTCGAATCTGTGACCGACATCGTGAATGAAGCTATGATGGCAAATGCCAGGCAGAGTCTCGATATGCTGGACGAGCAGATTCCAGGCGATGAGGACACAGACATGGATATCACAGCTCCAATCGGGACAGGGATTCAGGACCTTGCGCACGAGATGCCCCCAATGGCATTTCATACTGCCGAGGACCATACCGCCATGTTCTCCGAGTTTGGGAGCCAGATGGATATGACGCAGACCATCGGTGTTGGTATTGTGGAAGCCGACTTGGTTGCGCCATCTACTCAGGACGACACCGCATCGCAACTTGGAACTCCCATGGATATGACACAGCCTATTGGTGGTATTTTGGAGGCTGTCCAGATTGCGACCTCTACCCAAGAAGACAGGGCACCACAAGCCGAGAAAACTAAGGATGCCGAAAGTATCATTGATATTAATGCACAGCAAGCGCCCACAACACCTCGCCGACAAAGCTTTAACAGCCGAGCTTCTCTACGTGCGAGCTTTGGGGCTACTGAAGTTCCCAATGAACAGTCTCAAACAGGATCTGAACAGCATGAGGAAGAACGCCGACAACCGCCATTTAACGAGCCAGGTAACACTGCCAGCGATGCGAGATTTTCATTCTATTTTACGACAAGGGGAATTGTAAGTGACGGCAAATACTGACTCGGTAGAGAATGTGTGTGGATCCTAATCTTCTAGTCTTTCAAGCTCCTCAAATCAGTCCTGCGACGACCAATCTTGCCAAAAAGATTGACCGCTTCTCTGTCGGCGAGCCATCTGGGTCGGCCAGCGGGCTCCAGGAAGACGATACATACAACACTATGGACTTTTTACGCGAACAGCGCGCTCGGAGGGCGATCGCGGGTGCCTCAATGGATGGCGGTGATATTTCACGGGATAACACCAACGACTTTACCAACGATTTTACCAACGATCACTCCATGGGTGCACCTGAGCCGGACGCAGCCGATGTGTCGTACGATACTGGGGGAGATGAAGACTCTATCTCGGAGGTAAAGCATCAAGATCAACGAGGATTCGTATCAACGTGTTATGATATTGTACAAGGCAGTCTGATGTCTAACAGGTGTCTTTCTGTGATTTACTATTTTTCCTTCAATAGTTACCGCCCATCTCTTTGAGTCAGTTTCTAGGTCTTGTGGGAATCTCCTTTCTGGACCAGCTCTACACGAGTACTCGTCGCAGAACCATCCCTCACCTGAGCAGCTCTTCCGAGTCATATCGGAGCGCGGATCTGATCAAGGCTAAGGCAATCTTCACACAGGAACTCAACTCGTACCGGGAGGCATGTCGTCTGTTGAAGCAGTCTATCGAAAAGACACGGGCGTTCTGTCTTGAGCAGGAGAAGAAGGTCATGGAGAGCAACCCAGACTACATTCGCGAATTCCGGGAGAGTAACTCTGACACGAAGGAGTTTATGAAGGATCGACTAAAGTTGGTCAAGTCTCACGCGAAACTGGATACAAGTGTCCAGTTCAGTGGACTCAAATCGGAGCTTTTGGAGCGACAGCAGGCTTCTCTGGAGGAGCACCTAGACAAGCTGAAGAAGGTTCGTAGAGCTGGTACATAATCAAGATCAGCTTTTTGTTTTGATTGGGCTGCACATCATTGCTAATTAGTGCCTTTTTTGTGGTGCTCATGCTATAGGACATTGCCAATCTTGGTCAGCTTGCATCGGAACTATCGAAGGAGAAAGTCAAGGTGACGCCAAGGCACGCAGAGCTCAAGCGAATCGTCGAGCAGGCTACAGCGCGGAGGAGAGCCTATGCGCAATGCGACAAGGAGCAACTCAGGATGCTTACCGAGGCTGTTGACGAACAAGGGTAAGAAGTTGACCACAAAAAGAATGCAGACTCGGAGGAGGAGGAGGAGGAGGAGGAGGAGGAGGGGGGGGGGGGGCACAAATTTGCCAATGTGCAAATAACTAATATGATGTTTGCTGGTTCTTCCATATATGCATCAATAGAACTCAAATCGAACACTTCAAGTCAGTAAACGAACGAAAGGAGAAAGAGCTTGCAGAGGTCCGGGCCAGGGTCGCACAGTTGCGTTTGTCTGAACAGACAAGCAAGGAGCGTGTTGCGGCTGCAGAAAAGACGATCCAGGACAATCAATATGTGCGTCCTGAGGATGTGTCACAGGCCAAAGATCGACTGAGGATCATTCAGGCAACTCATCGGTGGGAGCCTCTTCGGCCATCGAGCGAATCATTTTCCTCGGCTGCCGGAGGATCTGCTTTCATGGTGGCGAAGGCTGGTAGTAGCACTTTGGAGTTTGTGTACGACAAGGCTGTGGTTGTTGTGATTGATCCGTCCAAGATTGGGAAGGACTTGGAGGCAGTCAAGGTGTCTGCGTTTGAGGAGGAGGCGATGGTAGACTTCGACTTGTCCTTGGCAGATCAGCCGCGGTTGCTTATCTCGGCCCTCGCATGCAAAACACGACCGTCCATGAAAGATGTAAGTCAACTCATCCTCATGGGTGTGTCGTCAAGTTTCATTCTTCATGATTGCTGTATGAATATCGAGTATCGTAAGCTCACCATGCGTTTTTTTTTTGCGTTTGATTTCCAAACACCTAGTATTTCCCATTACTCCGCGATTACACGACCATGGTGGCGGCCAAGTACAAGTCCGGGACGAAGATCAGCAAGATCCTGAGCGACGTGAGTCAGTTCTGGACCAGGATCTGTCTGATCCGACGAGATATTGAGTTGGTGCGAGCTCACCATGTGGTAGACCTTGTGGCTGGATCCGCAGAGAACCTCAAAGAGCTCGAGCTCAACGCAAGTCCACAAGCCAGCAGAAGGAGTCTTCGCCAGGTCGCTCCTGTAGTCCTTTTGGATATTCGAGTTCGGTTTACGGGACCCATTCTTGGTGCTGGTGCGAGGAGGCGGGTTCCTGAGCAGAGTGGTGGTGGTGGCGGTGGTGGAAAGAAGAATGGCCATCAGAATCCGGAGGAGGAGCCTGTCAAGTTTTATTTGTGGTTTACGTTCACGCTGAGCGATCTGTTGAGCTTCCCTGGTCCTAATTCTTTCACATGGCGCCTCGAGATTGTTTATGGCGATATCAGGTACCGTGACTTTGTCTGTTTTGAAACAATTGTAAAGCTTGTATTGATCTGGTTCGAAATGCATCCTCCAGGATACTGACATGTGGTTACTGGCTCGTTTTTCTTCCTTATTCAGCCACGAGCATGTCGCCCAGGCGGTCAGCCCCTGTGTCAAGAAGGGCGGCTACGATGTCATGCGCGATATCTGCCTCAAAGTCAACCAGCTTCTCAGAACATAATACACCGACGACACCGGTCGTAAAGTACAAGGTTTATTCAAGAAAAAAAATAAAGTAATAATGTTTCCCCAAACTCGTTCGCAAGCATAGCCCTTCCCCCGTGCCATTCTGTCAACTATCCCAAGGAAACAGGCAAAAAGTTGCCTACAATCACAGTGGGGATATTATACTTGTCTCTCCTGATAGTGAACGAAAAGCAACAAGAAATGACGTTCTGCGATTCCGGGTCCGGGTTCTTGAGGAGACACGATGTCAAGACGGCCTTTTGACCGGCATCAAAGGCAATGTTACCGTACTTTTCCCAATAGTTGACGGCGGACTCTTCGGCCATCAGTTCGTATATACACAGACGGCCCTCCCGCAGCATCTCCAGCGGCACGTTGACTAGCGACGCAAACTCCTTGTTGCCCTTGTAGATCTCTCCTGTTCGGCGCCAGAGACATGCTGGGATGCCCATTGAGCTGAAGACTCGGTCGTAGTCCTATATGATAGCAAGACACGCGTAAAAGAGGTTAGAGAATGGTGTGTGTAGTTTTGTGCAAGTATTTTTGCTAACTTGCATTACGAGGAAATTTGTGTGTTTGTTGGTTTGGGCAAAAGGGGAGAGCTGCGCAAATGACAATCTTAACTAGCATGAAATCCCAGACAGGCAAACCGAGGAAAGCAAAGAAAAATGAAATTGATCCACAGAAATAAACTTACAAGCAGCAGGCGCTCAAATGCCTCCTCGACAAGGACAAGGTCAATATCTGTCAAGGATTGGGCCACTGTTCTGAATGCTGGTCGGAAAGTGCCCATGACGTTCAATATCCTCTGTCTGCTGATATTCGACATACTGTTCAGCGTAAATAAAAAAAGTTGCAGGATTAGGATCTTCAATTGATACTGACAGGCACGGGGACCAGCGAGATCGAGATCTGTCATTCAAAGAACATACTTGCTGTCCATGTATTTTTGAAGACGAGAATATCCATTGACGTAGTTGTAGGGTTTCAAGAAGCCAGCTTCGAACTTAGCATTGATGACCTGGGTCAATCGGTCCTCATTGGTGCCATCACTTGGATCTGCTGCTGTCAAGAAGAACTTCTCGGTTGTGTTAACGGGGATTCCTGTCTCGCAAAAGATATTTTGCTGATCGCCTCCCAGACTCTCCAAAAAGTCACTAGATAAAATTACAGAATGCAAAGGAGGGTTAGGGACTGGAGCTCCTGTCTTGTGTTTCGTACTGATATACCATCCTGACTCGTATTCCCACATCCTTGTCAATTGAACGCACCTGATGACAGTAAACTCGTTACCCATATGCTCACTCGCAAAGGTCAATGGGGTTACAGGCAGAGCTGACAGTTGGTTGTTGAATCCGTAGAGAGGCAAGCCCAAGTTGTTGGCCTGGAGTTGCTGCTGTTGTAATGCAAGCTGTTGCTGTTGGTGTGAGGTGAGCTGTGTTTGATTCTGAGCAGCCTGCTGTTGCTGCTGTGAAGTCCTTCGTGCTATATAAGAGAATGTCCATTTACTGCACTGTTAGATATTATGAATCAATCAACCTGGTTCTTGGACCGAAACAACGCATATGAAGTCCTGTGTCGAGCCATACCTTCAGGAGATCGTGAGATGCTGGGGACTGGGGTTCCTGCATTACTCGAGCTGGCGCTAGCCGGTTGCTGCGAGCCAGCCGTTCCTGACGCTGATGGTTTAGGTTCGTCGTGACACATGTGTCCGATATTACGCTTGATGCATCGCTGACAAGGACGACCTATTGCACATTCGTTTTTGATTGTCGAGTTAGGATAAGAGGATGATATAGCTTGGATACTGGCACTTGCTTCAACCGCTGCTGTACTTACCATCGTCGCATGTCATATGGGATCGCCGACAGTACACGCATGCTAAGAAAGAATAAAAAGGCGTGGGACAAATAACAAAGAAAAAAGAGGTGAGTGAGTGTCCGTGTTCGACACCGAAACATGGAGCGAACAATGGACAATTGGATCCTGAGTTTGAAAAAACGTCGGTCGGTTGAACTGGTTTTGTCGTTCTATGGTGGGGGTAATTTTTTTTTGTTTTTTGTTGAGTTGATGGATATTACTGTCTTGTTGCTGATCGACAAGTTGCTCTTCTGGCGCCAAAGGTAAAAAAGTTGTTTTCCTGATATTGTCCACGAAAGGAAGAAAGGCCGAAGGGAGGCAATAGATGTATGTACCCCCGTTCATCATAACCACCTTCTTCAATCTCTGCTCCAGCCCTTCCCAACGATTCCCATTTTTCCAGTACATAAAAGAGAAAGGTTGTTTTCAAACCACCCTCTCTCTTCATGTCAGCGATCATCAAACATACAAATATCAAGATGTATTGGGTTCAATTCGAGCGAGTGATAATGTACCAAGAAATTCAGTTTCTTACCGTGAGTCACTTTTCTCCGCTTGGGGCCACCTCGTTTTTTCTTGGCCTCAGCCGACTCGTCGTCCAGCTGTTGTTGGGTCATGGCTGCTCCTGTCCCTGCTGCTCCTGCTGCCGTGGCAGACGACGAAGAACCTCCCTGGTTATCCTTGTTGACGTTGTTATTATTGTCTTCGTTGGTAGTGGTGGTGTTCTTGTTGCCACCATTCCCGTTTGTTGACTCTGTCGGTTGATTCATTTTTCCTGATTCTTTGTTGTTGTGAAGACGAAGGGGGGCGAATGGATGAGAAGTGAGAGGAAAGAAAGGAAGGCCAAAGTTTGTTTGCGATTGAGAGTGTTGTGTGTTGAGGTGGAGAATGCGGGGATGAAGGCCAGAAAAAGGAAAAAGAAAGAAAAGGAAAATGGAGCTGAGGAAAAGAAATATTTCCAGGTCCAGGGCACAACCCTGGAGCCAGAAAATGGTCACTTGACTAGAATCGATACGCCCAGTCAAAGTTATGAGCGGGCGATCCCATGCTAGACATATGCCAACCAGAGAAAGAGAGAGAGTTGTCATTTGCAGGACAAGACATGCTTCAATGGATCCTATTGAGGCTATCGACAGCTTGCTTCTTCGTTTCAACAAGAAACACGAACATATCAATTGAAGGTCTTGCTTCCTTGTCACTCTTACATTACGCTGTCGGTGGTTGTGCATAGTATGACCATGTGCTCCTCGCTTCTTTGCAGTGCGATCTGTGAGGGACGACCGAAGCATATGAAAAGTAGTCACGCCGACTTTTTGTTCTTCCCCACTTGGTCGCTTGTTCTCTTTTGCTTCTCTGCTTCTTCTTCCTCCATACTTCCTCTACTTTCCTCTGCTTTCCCCTCCTCCGCTCTCAACTATAACAACAACCTACACACGCCATATACTCACTCTTCTCTGCAACAAAGACACAGTTCTCTCCACCACCAGCAATCACTCACTCTCAATGGCGAAACCAATGTTCGCGCGTCGTCTCTCCAAGGAACTCAAAGGTGACTACTCCACCTACGCTGTCACCCACTCATTCAAAGCCTTTTTTTCGACTGGGCCTCGCCACTACCTACAACTACAGATCTTATAATTCACCTTCCTCTTCTTGTCACTCACCCTTTTTTTCCCTTCTATGGACAACGCCACTCAATAGATCTGGCCATGAACGCCCCCGCAGGCGTCAACATCATCGATGCCAATGACTTCAAAGTGTAAGGTTAAAGCTCTAGTCTTTATTGTTACTGTCATTTTTTTTGTTTGACTGTACGACAGAAATAGCCCTAACTTTTTTATGTTGTTGTTGTTGCTTTTGCTTCGCCTTCAAATAGCTGGAAGCTGGGTCTTGCTGGTGCTCCAGGAACTCTCTATGATGTAATGGTCCACAGATGATATGTTACATGCGGGAGACAATGAACTTATGAGATGACCAACACCTTCACCCTCTGGTTCAATGGACCTAACCAATCCCTTTCTGGTTATTTTTTCTGGCGCTTTTTGTCACCCATTGGATTCTCTGTTTACTTTTCGACTCTCACAGGGTGAAAAGTTCCAGCTCGAGGTAAGCATAAAAAACGGCTTTAGCGTTACTTTGTACCCTACACGCCAACTACTCGCTCAATTGCATGCAGGACAGCCCAGGTCGATACTGGCTTGAGCAACTGTACAACGGCTGACACGGTTACACTCTTCCTTTGATTACTCTTACATCACTTCCAGTTCAACTTTGGGCCAAATTATCCTCTAGAATCCCCTCAGGTTCTCTTCGTCGGCGATAACATACCCGTTCACCCACACGTAAGTAACGCATAATATATTGGCAGCACATCCAGGCGATTTTATCGCATACGGATCATCAGACAAGGGCCGGCAGAGCAAAGCAAAAGTAGGCGTGCCCAAAAGCCAGCCCCATTTTCAAAAACAGGAAACATCACTCCAGATCGGCATACACGGACTGGGCTGTGATTCCTACATATTAACCCTCGCCCAAATCTCAATGCTGCAATTTTGGCTGGCGGGTTCAATTTGCTGTTGATAGATTTACAGCAATGGTCATATTTGTCTGGATGTCCTCTACAACCACTGGAGTCCGGTTCAGACGGTAGCATCGATATGCCTTTCCCTTCAATCGATGCTGTCGAGCTGCACGAGTAAGGAACCTCCACCAGATAACGCCACCTACGTCAAAACCGCCAGAGCCAACCCCAAGCACACCGCCTGGGCCTTTCATGGTAACAATTGCTTGTTGAACTTTTGTACTTCGCAAATTGAGCTTGAAGGATTCTATGGGCTGACTGGATTTGTTCTTTCTCGATGACCAACATAGACGACACCGTTTAGGACGATCGAAAGTCATGGATGGGCAGACTGGACGGGATCGCGAATGCCCAAGGAGCAACTACTGTCAACTGATCAATTTTCGCCTTCGCACTTTTACTCAAGACCCATGGGCGAGGAAACAGGAACAAGGGACAGAAGGGAAACCAACGTAACATAGGTAGCATAGATCTTTCTCACACAACTGCACAGTCCCAAAATACACACCAAAAAGTCCGAACAACTCCCACGGCCATCCATGACAGCGAAATGATGTGATTTCCTTTTTTTTTTAATCGCAGAAAAGGTCTAAAGTAGAATTACAATGGGTGGGAGTGAAGTGTGTGGGTGTGTCTGTGTGCGTATGGTAGTTAAGTTGATATGTTGATATGTTGCTGTTGCTGGACTGGAGTTACTGGTTCATGAGGCGACGCTCAAGCTTTTCAAACTCGAGCTGGGATACCTCCTCCTCGGCATCGAATGCCTGCTCGACAGCAGTGACCTCAGGAACATAGTGCATCAACATGTTCTCGATTCCGTTCTTCAGAGTCACAGTCGAGCTATCACAGGTTCTGCAGGCACCCTTCAACTTGAGCTTGACAACACCGTTCTCGAATCCACGGTACTCAATATCTCCACCATCGTCCTGAATCGAGGGGCGGATACGGGTGTCGAGCAGCTCCTTGATCATCTGGACGGTCTCGCTGTCATCCTCATGGATCATGGTGTCGAGCGCAGCGCCTGATTCGCCGTCGGCGGTCTCTGAGATGATAGGTTGTCCTGAGGCGAAAAAGTCCATGATGGCCGAGTAGATGTCGGGCTTCATCAACTGCCAGATCGCATCCTGGTCCTTCGTGATGGTCAAGAAATCGGGTCCAAAGAAGACGCCACGGACACCGTCGATCTGAAACAGCTTTTTGGCCAGGGGCGAGCCCATGGCGTTACGGGCGTCCAGAAACTCGGCCGTGCCGTTGGGCATCACGGCGACTCCTGGCATAAACTTGAGCGAGTCCTGGTTTGGGGTCGTATCAGTCTGGATGAACATTGTGCGAACTATTTTATAATCAAAGAAAGGAAATATTTGCTCCGGATCAGGTCAGCTTTCTTCCATTCTGCTTCTCACTTTGCAAATTCATTCGAGGACAAAAGGATTCGGTGTAATGCTTTAGACATAGTGGAGGAAGAGAGGGAGTTGGTGTATTACGTTGCTGAGTGGCATAGATGTTTGTTCTGAAGGCCTTGGAGGGAACGACAGCGCGGTGGAGAGAGATGTGCGCTGCGGAGGAGGAAGAGTTGTTGATGAGAGTGCGCTGGGGAAGGACGGCAGCGGTGAGGAGGGTTCTCTTCGAGGCGGCGGTAGCCAAGGCTCTAGAGGAACGGGCGGGCAAGAGTCGGAGCATGTTTGGGAGTGAGGAAGGAGAGGGTATGGGGGAAGGGGGGAAGGAGGAACGAAGAGAGGGAGGACGGAGAAGAGTTTCCTTTTTGCTCGGGATGCAGAATTGCTCAGAGAAAGACAGGGGACAACTCACCGTACAAGAGATCTGATTCACTTAAGGGCAACAGAGAAGGAAGGAGGTGGGTTCAAAGAGCTCATTCGCCCGCAGACAGATGGCTCGCTCTCTTTTCAACAGGTGCGAAATTTTACCAGAGGTGTCAAAAAAACGTGACTGTCTGTCAAGATCTATTCACACGGCTGCAGTACAAGGGCCAAGTTGGAAGGCACACGGACGGGAAGCAGAAGGAAAGGAGGGCGACACATACACCCCGACAACGCATCCATGGGCATACTCAAGCATACCATCGATCCATCGATCCCATTATCTATCGAACCAGGAACCATCACCATCGCCATCATCAACATCGCCAACAAGGCTATTTTGCCTCATATTCAGAAGTCGCCATATATCACTGTTACAAGACACAGGCCCTTCTTTTCTCTTTGAACTGAGGTCAGAGAGACGGACATAACAACCACCAACAAAACACGACACAGAAAGGCAAGGTGGACGAAGGAAGAGACAACGGGCTCCATCGCAGGAGTAACGGCACTCCGCCTCTTTGCGATGAAGGTTCTGTGAACGGAAGGATGAAGAGAGCAGGCAGGAAGGAACAGGAGTAAACTGACTGGTGCTTGCGACAGCGGGAAGCGATCGCCCATCAGATAACAGGCGGAGAAGTGCCCGTCAGGAGAGGCGTCACCATCATCTTTTTCCTCACAAGCGGGATCAACAGAAACGACGTTCACGAACAAGCCTGTCCTAACCTGGTCCCCCCTTCCCTCCTCTCTCTCCCCGGAAACACAGATAATTCAGCATGCTTATCCCCAAGCAGAACCGCAAGCTTATCTACGAGGCTCTCTTCAAGGGTGCGCATATAGTTTTTTTTCACTTTGCAGCAGGATGAACGACTTTTGTTTTCTCAACTGGAAGGGCGGCACGATTCATTAGGAGGCGTTACTGTGCCAGGATGAACAAATAGTTACTCGACCCATGGAGAGACTATGATTCAGGATCGTCCAAGAACCAGATCACTAACAGGATCGTTTTTTCTTATTTTCCTACTATTCCCTTTTCTCGCGATTCTGCCTTGCAATGAATCGCCCACTGCCACCTTCTCCACACCCTCGACCCTTTCGACTGTCTATCAATCTTTCCAACCAAAAACGCAACACCAAACGCAACACCAATCCAACAACACAAAAAACAAATAATATATTGCACAACAGACGGTGTCTTGGTCGCCAAGAAGGACTTCAACGCCCCCAAGCACGATGAGATCGATGTCCCCAACCTGCAGGTCATCAAGGCTCTTCAGTCCTTGGACTCGAAGCAGTTCGTCAAGACCCAGTTCTCGTGGCAGTACTACTACTACACCTTGACCGATGCCGGTATCGAGTACCTCCGCGAGTACCTCCACTTGCCCTCGGAGATCTTCCCCGCCACCTTCAAGAAGACCGCCCGCCCTTCGGCTCCCCGCCGTGCTGGTAAATTTGATACCTTTTTAGCTTCTTTTTACCTTCGAGGATAGGCCAGCAAACCTTTTCTTTTCGACAGAATTCAAAATTGGAGCAGGACTTTGGAGAGAGGCGCGGCAGCGAGAGATGATTTCAGGAAAGGACAAATATGCAGGACGTTGTTTCATTCCAAATATCAACTGGACCATAATTCCTTCCTGGGTTCTAGCAGATACCTGCAACAACAAAGCAAGGCAGAAACGACAAATATTACCGAGAATAGACGATTGAGGAGACAAAACGAAACAACACTGCAGCACTCGATTACGACGAAAGCAACGTTTCCCAGGGCGACAAATCCCGAGACACAACATTAGCGATTCCTTTGATTGATATCATTGATCTGATTCTAATCAATATGTTCCCATTTTTCTTTGATAATGCATCGTAAATAGAGCGCCCCGAGGGTGCTTACCGCCAGCGTGGTGACCGTGAGGACTACCGCCGCCGCGATGACGGTGAGAAGAAGGAGGGTGCCTCCGGTGACTACAAGCCCGAGTTCCGCTCCGGCTTGGGCCGTGGCCGTCCCGCTCAGCAGTAAGCTAGCTTTGTCTAAACCCCTTCGTTCTCCTTACAACCACCCAAACAAATCTCAGAGATCACTTTTTGTTAAGCATCCCCCCTTTGGATTGGGGTCTGAGAGAGTGGTGCGACTCTTTCTTACTTTTTTTCTTTGCTTCTTTTTAAAACGTCCCCGAGTGGAAAAATAAATGAGTCCATCATGAATCCATACAAAGAACTCGGTCTCCTATTGTTTGTTTTTCTGTTTGTTTTGCGAACAATTATTGTTCATTGATGGGTCATTAATGAATGTACTTGGCCTCATGATGCATTGGACGACCAAACAACCAACCAACCAACGAACCACTTGAACTTTGTACCATGGAAATAATACAGAAAGTTGCAATAAAGGTGAAACTATATCATTTCTCTCATGTGCTCTTTCTCTCTTTATCATCGACTTTATTATGGTCATCCTCCAGTTCGGTTGCTTCTTGTGGAAGGACGCATCGATGATGGGCGTAGAAAAAAAAACCAGAGCAACGTCTATGGTTCGACGTGAAACAAGCCTGCTGAAAGTGAGACAACATGTTGGATGATTTGGTTGAACGATACATGGTTAACTGGCAAGGCTTAATTCAACGAGAGTCATACGAGAGTTTCTACTTCCGATGGGCGGTTATTTTTCAGTCCTGGGTTTTGCTTTTCTTGGGAGAACGGGCGATAGGACGAGGGAAAAGGGATAAACGTGGAGAGATCTGGCAATTCCGAGGGTGTAGAAAGCAGGTCTGGTAGAAAGAGAAGGCCAAAATAATTGATGCAGGCACTCCTATCTGCATCCTCCCCTCCCACTCTCCCATCCTTCTTTCCTTGTCCTTACTTGCTTCCGTTCAGTTCATGTCTCCTCCCATCTCTCCCTCCTTCCTCAATTGCTCTGGCGTAAAGCATGGGAGAAAGAGTTGAGAGAGGGAAGGAGGCTAGCTAATTTATCTACTACCAATCAGGCAAGGTAGGAAAAAAGAACAGTTGATTACATGAAAATGAAAAACGTCCACCCGACCCATAATTTGCCTGAAAGAACATGGGCCATTTTTGTGCTAGGCTATGATGGAAGGAGGATGTGGTGAAGAGCCGATTGCTGTTCGGAGGAGAATTTATTACGTTTGTTTGTTTTGTTGTATCCACTCGTTTGCTGGAATAAACGAAAAGAATATTGAGTAATGTACCAATGTCTGTATGGCAAATGAGCAACAGGGCAACACCTCTCCTCATAATTTGAATTGAATGGAGCGAGAATCTCCGCTTCAAGAATAGAGAATGAAATTTGGACACATCGAGAGAGAGAGAGAGAGAGGACGAAGAGGCAAGAGAGTGGGACTCGGACCATGGATGAAACAAGTGGATGTATTAGTGATCTTGGATACTTTGTATGTGGTTGAGACAGGACACAGGGGTATCGGAGTGGCTAGGCACAGGCACAGGCGTCCGTTTCTCTTGAATCTCAGGTACAATTCTAATTTGCTTATCGCTGGCTAGACATGGGGCACCCACTTCGATTCTCTTTTCTTTTCTTTTCTTCTTTTCTTTTTTCTTCTTTTCTTTTGTTTTCTCTTCTTTCTCCACCTCTTTTCTTCGTCTCCTCTCATCCACCTCTCATCCCTGTCCCTCATCCCTCCCTATTTCTTTCCTTCTCTCCACTCTTCTCTCACCCGCCTTTGTCTCTCATCACTCTCTTATCCATCGCACTCATTCTACCCACTATACCCTTTTCTCCTACTCTCCCTCTCCCTCTCTCCCCTTCACTCTCACTCATATCCCTCCTCCTCCCCTTCACATCCAGCAACACCTACCCTCTCTAACGACCACTTCCTCACCACTCGACAAATCACCACCCTCGACCGGCCCAGACACCACTACCAGCAACAAACAAAAAGAACAACAAACAACGATGGCAAACATTCGCAAGGTCCAATACACCGCCTTCGGGATGCTGGCCTTTTACATGATCACTGGTATCGGCGCCCTCGTCCTGGCCAATATGTGGCTCAGCAGTGCGGCAGCCCCTCGTGAAGCCGTTATCTCGCGCGAAATCGAAAAAGGTACACCCCTCCCCCCTCTCTTTCTCATTTACAGACATCAGGATCTGGATCAGTCGATTTTTGGCTGGCTGTTCCTGAATGTTATTAATATCTGAACATATTTTAATAATGCACCCAGACAGACATACACACACACACATACCCCCATCTTGCATCAAAGACAGGGGAACTGAAAAGAGTGAAGGGAAGATGGATGGGATTACCGCCGACGGGAGCCACAAAAAGACAAAAGGGGTTGGAGGAGGGGGGATGGACAACAACAGCCATGCCTCTCCTCCTTCTACCATCCACCCATGCCCCACGATACATTTTTCTTTTTCTTCTATTGTGAGTTGTTGCTCAATATTACCCGGAAGGCTCGAATGTTCTAACCCACACAGCTCGGTACTAAAGAGAGACATCAATATTGTTGTTGTTGTACACAACACCATTCATCGACATCAACAATGAGAGCACAATCTGATATACAAACTGGTGTTCAATTTACAACAGTGGGTGATCGATGGTCGCACCAACGAATGAAAAGCAAAAAGACGATAGCACTAACCCTCAAACGGAAACATTTTTTCTCCGTTCCTTTCTCCTTTCTCCTTTCCTCTTTTCCTCCTCTCCTCCTCTCCTCCACAACCTCGACACATAGCCGGAGCAATTCTTGGTGGCATTGTCGCAGGAACAGGACTCATTGGATTTGTCGGCGCCATCGCGCCGGTTAAACGCAAGGACTGTCTGATGGCCTTTATTGTTCTCCTGATCGCTGTCATCCTGGCCGAGCTCGGACTGGGAGGCGTGATCTGGTTCAAGACCTTGCGTATGCGTAGCACCTTCCAGGACCAGTGGACTAACCTGTGGGCGGATACCCTCAAGGTTGCCTTCCAGGACATGGTACGCATTCACAGCAATGACTATTCCCTCTCTTTTTTTTTTTCTATTTCAATCTATTTTTGTGTGCACTGCAATTTGATTTAACTAACACCCTTCCTTTCCTTCCATCCACTCCGCCGTTATCATTACCTATATAATAGGATACTCTGACAGGGTACGGACAATGCTGCGGCTACCTCTTCCAAACCGAGGTGGTCTCCTCCGGAGCCTGTGCGGCAAACCCCACTTCAATCGAGTTCCCAGGATGCGAAGAGAAGGTCTCGGCCTTCGCAGACGGTTACCTCCGCAAGCTGTTCACGTCACTGTTCGGATTCACGATCGTCAACGTCTTTGTCTTTGTCACGATGATTATCCTTATCCAGACCAGGAACGATGAAGAGAGATATATCCGTATTGGCAAGAAGGAGGGCAGAACCTACATCGATTCCATCTAATGACCCTCTCGTCCACGCAGGGAATCGTGTCTTGCCCCCGTTTTCCTTTCTTCTCGACCGGCCAGTTAGATTGGCCGTTGTACATATACCATTTTTCTCTTTGCCTTGTATTCTCTTCAGAAATAAAAATCCAAACCACCCGCATTCCCTATCATTTCTTCCCGCGTATCTCTTTCCACCTCTATGACCAAGGAACGCCGACAACTGGACACGTTTTATTACATCTATGTTATAACAATAAGATATCCACAAAACTCCTCCCTCCACGCCCAGAAATGCCTCACTTCTTGGACATTTGTTCGTTAAAGAAGCCCTTACGCTTCTTCTCCATGGCGCTCAGGTACGGCGCTGTGATGGGCATCTGGACGGGGGCTAATACCTTATAATCCTCATTGTTTCCAGAATCAGGCAACGCGTAGGTCATGTCTGAATCGAACCCGCTCAAGTCCCCACAGGCGATGAAGGGGACGATCGTCCTGTTTGAGTTTCCTTGTGCGTCCGTTGGGGCTATCAAAGAGCATGATGTGACATGTTAACGGTATGTTAGCTGACAAAAAATAATATCGTGTAGTTACAGATAAATGGTCATTTTCGATGGTCAAGGAAATCGCCACGAGCATACCGAGGTCGAGCAATGGGTTGCCCATGTTAGGAACATAGTCTTTGGGTGGGGTATAGTCCTGGCACACAATGAATGCCTCTGTATTTTCCGCACCAACGAAACAATAAGGCATCGTGTTAGTCTTCGAACAGCTCATGGCTCAATCTCCCATACCCGACATCCACAAAATCATGGTCCAAATAGTAGTATAAACTAAAAGAAACACCAAGGCGTACCGATACTAGAGTTGCGGGAACTCCTGGGTTTGCTACATGTGACCTTGGGGAAGAAGACCTTGAGCTGGGTGTAGAGGAGAGTAATATCCTTTCCACGGAAGATCTTTGCGACAAAGGATCCACCGGGCCGGAGAACGTGGGTTGTGATGTTGAGTGCTGCCAACAGCAATTGTGCTTGGATGTACTCGTCCATGTCGTGCAATCCCGTCACTAGAATCGTCAGAGTGAATAGAGGAGAGAGAGAAGGTCGGAGCATCAGCTACGGGATTCTTTCTGTCGTGTACGATACAAGCTACTATTCCTTTCATCCTAGCTGGTGATGTCTCCTTGTGGTTGATCCATTGGGTTTACCATCGGGTGCGCCGTCGCAGACAACAATGTCGGCCATCTCGCCGTCAAAGTAAGAGATAATTTGATCCGCTGTCGACTGCTTGGTGATATCGCCTTGCAACTGAATCACTCCTGGCAACGGTGCCTACATTGTTGAAAGAATAAAACAAGGCCAGAGTGTCAGTTCACGGAAGTCATCTCCTTTCCTGATCTACGCTGACATTGGTAATCGTCCTTGTATCGCCGATCCTCTTTACCATTGCTTGAAGATCCACAGCAACGATCTTGGCTTCCTCTCCCTCCTTCTGGTTCTCACTATGGTGTCATAATAGAGGTTCAACCGATGTTAGATCCAAGGTCAAGATACGGATCGAGCTCCAAACTGATACCGTGCTGCTTACACCAGCTTCTTGCTTAGGACCTGGGACCAACTTCCGGGGGCAGCACAAAGATCGACAGCCTTGGTGACACCTAAGGGTCATTCAGATATGAACATGAAGTGAATATAGTCAGAACTCCTTGCTCCTTTGCTCAGGCCAATTCCTGATGATACATCGATTGCCTGGTAAGACATCCTGAATCCTTGAGGTTCTTCATATAGTTGATATAGTACCTTCGAGAAGGTTGAATTCCTCGTCGACCTGCATCAGCTTGAAGGCGCTGCGAGCTCTCCAACCCTGCTCCTTGGCCATGCGATAGTAGACATCGCGTTTGTCTTTACTGGATTTTCCCTATTAATATATTGTTCAATTGAAAGTCATATACAAATGTCAGCGCCGTTTTCTTCGTCTCTTCCTCGTTGCTTTCCCAGTTATTCACCATGTGGAGTGTATTGTGTGTAGGCATTACCATGTCGGAGAATGCAAAGTAAGCAAGCAAGTGTGAATGTGCAAAAAAGAGTGCCACTCGTTTTTTTTTTACCTCTCTGGTTGCGGCTGGTTAAATTGCTGCAAGAAAGAGGACCGTTTTTTGTTGACAATTTTGAAGTGGCTTGCATGCTGTGCCCAAATCATCCTCTACCTTCTGTTTCTTGTTTGAACGGCTGTTCGACACTGACGCGACTTCGCCTCCCTCTCCCTTTCATTCGCTCCTCAGTCATACAAACAAGGAGACAGCGCCACTAGAAATACTTGGCATTCAACTCTTCTACACAACAAACATACATTCCACCATGGCAGAGGAGTACGAGGAGGAATACTACGATGAGGAAGAAGGCGAGGACTACAACGAGGAACAGGAGGACGACGCAGAGTACGAATATAATGAGGAAGGTGGTGATGAGGATGGCGACATTCAAGTTGGAGAGGAGATTGACCTGGTAAGACTATTCGCTCTAGGTATCAACTTTATAACACAAATGGCAAAGGGACATGACGCGCTATGCTATTGCCGAGTCAGGCCACTTACGATTTTATTATTTTCCTTTCTTCCTGCAACTTAGACACACGAGGAAGTATGGGACGACAGTGCTCTGATCGAGGCATGGGACATGGCTGTGAAGCAATACGAGGTATAAGTACAAACATATTTGCAAAGATCGGTATTCACGCGGCTATGAGAGTGATGTTGTGCTCATTGTTTATTTTTGACTCTTGTCTGTTCTCCATTGTAGGTCTATCATAGCAAAGCCAATCCAAAGGACAACTCAAAGGACAAGGTCGCGAAGTAAGAGATATAGTCCGTCCGCTTAAACGCTTACTTCTTACTCTAAAGCAATGGCGTCATTTAACTAACACAGGCACGGTTCACGTATCTCTTCGCCAAGTAGATCGTCGATACCCCACTCCTCAAACAAGCACGAGAATGCCGATTCAGTACAACAGCCTACAACATCTCCCACTAAGCGGACAAAACTCAATCACAACAACAAGGTCACTACAACATCACAGGTGACAAGATCAGAGCCGGATTCATCTCCTACACCAACGGCTACACAATCGCAACAATCACCATCACAAGGGGCAGTGCCACAGTACGATGTATCGGAACGGAAACCAAGCTTCAAGAAAGCCGACAAGCCAAGTTTCAACCACCACAAGGAACGTCGTGAGGAGTTTGAGAAAGAGAAGGCACGGAAAGCAAAGGCTTCAGCTTCGACGACAGCGGCGGGACCATCTTCATCTACATCTGCATTTGCTGCACCAGTACCAACAGTAGATGCAGCGACTATTGCATACTATCAAGAGCTGGGATATTACTACGACCCGAGCTACGCGGCAACACATAATGAAGGACAAGGACAAGAAGGAGATGAGGACGGGGGCCAATCGCAGGGGCAGGAGGATCAGTTAGATCATCATCAACATCAACATCAACAAGAGCAAGGGCATAATGGATCCGGAAATGAAGTTGAGGCAGCTGGAAATAGCAAGATATCAGGATCAGCTCACGCTTTGCATGGTTCGGGTGCATCTAGAGGCAAGACGAATAAGCCTTCATCAGCATCAGCATCAGCAACCTCGAGAGCAGCACACAAAAATAGAGCTGCGTACCCTGTTCCGAATCCGTTTAGCCCTGGACCAACCGTGTACCCATCTCAACCACCGTTTTACCCATCTCCTCATGGATTTTATCCCGGCTACTATTCCGGCCATCTCCCGCCAGTACCTCTATCTCATATACCCCCAGGCGCACCGACAGCTGCAGCCGCAGCAGCGGGACCCAGAGGAGGATTTGGATTTCCAGCACCGCCAGGGATGGTTCCTCCTGGTTGGAATGGACCGGGTGGTCCGACGCCATTTGGACATGGTTCATCTGCAGCCGGTGGACAAGGGACGATTCCGCCACCACCATTGCCACCTTTTCCACCACACACAGGTGGTAGTGGACCATTTTCAGGACCAAAGATGGACGATGAAGCCCTTGGAAATCTGATCATGGCATGGTACTTTTCAGGATATTACACTGGGCTCTATCAGGCACAGAGACGGTAGATGGTGGATGCAGCCGAACCCTGTACCTGGCCCTGCGTGCCTGCGCTGTTTGTTGCGTTGTTGTTTGTGGCCACACCACGCAGTGAGTTATTTCTTGGAAATGAAAATCTCAAGCGATAGGGTACATGAGTCCCAAAAATAAAATGAAGAGAAAAGAAAAGAGCGACCACAAAGCGACACAATTTCATATGAGCACAGGCACGGCGCTGTCGACCATAGCATCTCGTGGTAGCATGTTCCTGGAAGTACCTATGGCTGATGTTTTCTTGGTTTGTCTTGTGCTCTCTAAGGTATTGTACTGTACAAGCAGTACACAAGACAAGCAATTTTCGACTGTGGCACAGGGAATGCTCACATGGGCATTTGTCAAGCTACTTTACTTGCTAATTCGATGCGTTTGCGTTTGGCTGGGGTCATTCATTCTTTTTTACTTCGGGGCTCTCGCACATGAAAAAAAACCTTCACTCAGTCAGAAAGGAAATAAAGTGTGTCTGGAGTGCTTGACTTTAATGAATGCCAGCTGTTGGTGTGATTCCCGCCACTTTTTTTTTTTATTTTTTTTAATTATATTTCACGTTACGTTTCTCCTCTTTGTTCTTTTCTCTTCATTCACTTTTCATTCTTTACGCCCTTTCATGACCTTTGCATTCACCATCCCTCTCTAACAACACTCACTTCCTCTTTTATTGCCAACGACCCCTCCCTTACGCACACACTGCACCACCACTTATACACACATTCAAACAAAAAAACATCCACACTTGCACCACGCACACTTTAACGAACAAAACACACACAGACACACACAAACACACACAAACACACACAGACACACACAAACACACACACACACACACACACACACACACACACACTTAACACACAGCACAATCAAACACTCATCCACACAACACACTCAAACACACACACAACAACACACCTCTTTATCACCACTACAACCACTTCAACCGTTTTATCTACACTCTATCGCCTAATTAACACCCTTGACACACCCCTTTTGTTATCTTTTATTTCCATTGTCGTTTTTCTCGTTATATTACCCACTGTACCCATTATTATTATTATTATTATCCCCTAATCCTTTGTGCTGCCAATACTCTTTACTTTTATAATATTACAACACCTTACTACTACTTCTACTTCAACCACCACCTAATACCCTTTAATATCCCCCTACCACCACCTTAATCATGATTGAACAAAAGTCCCAGCGTCTCATGGCTGCCTGTACCGACGGTAACCTTGAACTCGTCAACAGAATCGCCTCCAAATTCGACAGCATCCAGGAGCTCTGCGAGACCGAGCCCTCGTCTGGGTACACGCCCTTGATGATGGCTGCCCGACATGGCCATCTCGAGGTTGTTGAGGCCTTGATCCAGCTCGGTCACGACCGCGCCGAGACTTCCAGGGTAAGTTTACTACTTGAACCTGTTTGTTGGCCGCGAGGGATTGGGAGAGACAACACAATGAAAACGTGGGTTTTGTTGGGTGCGCGCGCGTGTGTGTGCTTATGTTTCTTTTTGTTTGTTTGGACACAAGAGGAACATGCGACGGGCGTTGACTATCCGTGCTTCCAAGCAGAGGGGCTAGACAGATGATAAGCATAGCCTCGTTGGCGATTAGGAGGAGGATGCAGGCACAGACACGCACCGCCATGTGTTATTTCCGAGTGCGACAATGGCGAATTAATATTGGGTCCTCTCCAAGCATGCAGCATAACATCATGTCTCTGAATTATTGGTATCGGAAGGTCTGTGAATCATTTTGAAGGCCAACTCGACTCTGGACCTACTTACAAAGAAACCGATGGACTCGACTTTGGTCGGTTGGTTGGGTGTTTTTGTTGTTTATCTGGACAGACATGTAGGCGGACGAAACGAGTGGAGAAGTGGTGTTTGGTTTTGCTCTTATTTTAACATAGTTTGATTGAGCTTCCTGTTTGGGGTGTCACAGCTATGGCCTAGAGCTTCTTTGATGGACTTAGATATTAACGGAGCTACGTTCTCTTTACTTCTCCCTTCTTCTCTTTTTCTCTATGGCGATTGGCTCATCATCTTTCCGTATCATTGTCGACAAAAACACAAAACAAACAGGATCACAACAACAACAACATCTTGATGATTGCAGCCGAACATGGTCACTTGGCCATCTTTGAGGTCTATGCAACAAAATTCCCGCGCGTTGTCGAGATGAGCAACAAGAAGGGTTGGACAGCCCTGACAACTGCTGCTCGATTTGGAGCCATTGGCATGGTCGAGGTGAGTTTTTGTTTTCTATCTCAGAGATCGTTGCAATTATTATTTTGAAACATCATTGGCTCCTATTATAGCCCTGAGCTGACTCTCTCTTTCCCCTTTCTCCTGGTCCCTTACCTCCTCGACCCTTGACCGACCCTTTTTAGATTTTACTTCACCTTGGAGCAGACATCAACCACCGAGACGAGGAAGGAAGCACGCCACTACACCAGTAAGGAGAATTATTTTCTTCTTTGCGACAGTTTCGAACATTTTCTTTTGTAAACACTAACAACAACAAACAACGGAATAACAACTCCTCGATGAGTGTGTATGCTGCAGCCAAACACTAACCAAATACGGCTCCACTATCTTTCCCCTCTGGTGTTTTTCTAAAACCAGTGCTGCTGCCTATGGTCACATTCAGGTAACGTGCAAGGGGTTGACCTCAAAACGAGACACCTTCAGGCACATCCGTAATCACTTATCAATTGATACTAACGAACGACCCTTGTTTATTATAAATGATGAAAATAGACCATTACCTTGTTGATTGAAAAAGGAAGCAGCTCGACCATCAAAAACAATGGCGGCTGGACCGCACAGGACTTCGCTTTCTCGGACAAGGTGTCAGCACACATGGAAGGTTCGTTTTTCTTTCTTTGTTAAGACAATGAGGCGTCGATTCGGGCTGTAATGACCCTGTGATGCAAAAAAGAAAAATGTGTTACTAACTCTCCATTTTTCGTGTGATTTTAGAATGCTGGAGAGCGACGGGCAGATCGATGACTTCGTCGCCTTCATCCTTCTCGTCACTGTATTCCAACGGCTCAGCACAGCAGGATTCACTTTCAGGTTCACCACCATCGACCGTCGGCAAGTCAGGAGCGAACACGCCTATGCCATTGGCGCTGTCTGGTCGTAAGGAGTCATGGACGAATCTTGCACATGGACCCTTGTCGCCCATCTTGGCCTCCATCTCTGGCGCGACTTCTCCACGACTTGCACCCTCGAATGCATGGTCGGAATTCAAGCGAGTTATCGTCAAGCAGTAATACTGCAATTGATAGTTGGCTCTTTTAGCTGATCATCAGAGCTAACCCTTAAAAAAACTAATAAAAAGACCGAGAAAAACAGCGAAAAAGAAGAAGAAAGAGAAGAACCGTTACGGTTGTGTCAAATAGTAACGAGAATCGTTCATTTGCTTGTTTTGATTGCTTATCTTTTTTTGGTGGCAACACCAGCAAACATGGAACGGTTGGCTGGAACTGATGGTGCCTGAATTTGTGATACCGTCTGCTTATTGGTGTTTCAGAGCCAGATTTCATTTCTAGCAATAATAAAAAACTCAGAAGAAAAGGCGGCTTGATGAGAGTCGGGGTGGTGACAAACAAGGGGCAGGTACAATCTATGTATGGACACATGGGACATGGACATAACTCATCCAGGTAGTGAGAAGGATAGGGATGTGGAGGTTGTGGGTGGTTTTTTGTTCTATTCAGCTCACGCTCTCTCTTTCTCTGTTTGGTGCCAATTGATATGTGGGTGTATTGTGTAAAAATACAATGAAAAAAAATATCCTTCACAACGAAAAGCTCTCAAGAAATAAAAAATAAAAAGTGTTAATATAGGGTGCAGCAACTGTTTGTGTTTCCTGTCCCTGCCTGCCAGACGACCATCCATCCAACTAATCCAACCCAAAACCTAACCAGACCACCCTCCACTTCTACTAGTCCTCCCTCTCCCAGTCCAACCAACTAAGCGTTTTCCCCTTCCTTCTTTCTGCCTTCATCATCTTCCTCCTCTCATCCTCTTTCATCCCACTTCCTCTTTTTCACACCTTCCTTCATCCTCCGCCCTCTTGTTTTTGTCCATCTTACCCAAAAAAGAAGAAAAAACCCCCTCCCTGCCCCTTCTCCTTTTCCCGACTCTTTCCTCCCTTCTCTCCCTCTTCATAACTTTTTGCCCACAAGATGATGGCAAGTAAGCAATCTGCTGCTGCTGCCTTCGCGTCGGATGATGAGGGCCAGGACTACGATCCCGTCCACAACTACAGCTCCGCGTCTGACTATGAGGAGGACAGGTACCAACGTACCCAGGCTGCCCACTCAACAACGGCTCCCTCCTCCAAGACCGCTCCCGCAGCACAACAACACAATTATGGCTATTCTGACGACGACAGCGAGGACGACTATTACAACCAACAACAACAGCGACATAGCCAACACGCAAGACAGGTCGTCTCTCCGTCCTCCGTTGCCTTGCCCACCAGCCCCGTTTCGTCCAGGGGCGGCCCAGGAGCAGGAGGTTACGACTCTTATAACGATCGACGGGATTCATACCCTACCCCTTCTTCCCACGTCGCTCCCGTTGCCGCTTCCGCTACAACTCCTGCTGCAGGCGCCACTGCCGCTACTCCTATCTTATCCTCCAGGAACTCATGGGAGGAAAACGACAGTGATGATAATGAGCCTTACCCAGCGGACGCATACGACTATGGCCAGGAAGAAGAGTCATCGAGCGGGGACGAATACGAGGAACGCCCTCGTAGTAGCCAGGTTCTGAAGCAACCGCAAGCGTTTCATGGACACAGCGACCGTGATAATAGCGAGGATGAGTTCGAAGAACGCCCTCGTAGCCATCTTCAGCACCAGCAACAACAACGACAGAGCCAACAGCCAGCGGCAACAGTTCAGGGACACGATGCAGCCGCCAGCAGTCATTCTGAGGACGAATACGAAGAGCGCCCCCGTAGCCATATTCAGCAGCAACAACCTCGGCCCTCATCATCGAATCACTACCATGCTGATAGCCAGTCCGAGGACGAGTTCGAGGAGCGCCCTCGTAGTCACCACCAGCAGCAACAGTACAACGACCACCGCGCTGCCGACAGTCAGTCCGAGGACGAGTATGAGGAGCGCCCTCGCAGCCACGTTCAACAGAGGCAGTCGACTCAATCTAGCCATGGCCATACCGAGATTGCTCAGGTTGCACAGAAAGAGCAGCAGGCCAAGAACCCTTACAACTACGACTCGGATCATTCTCGGTCGAGCTCCGAGGACCGCCGCCAGCCTACTCCCATCTCTGCTCCAGTGGCAGCAATAGCCCCAGTCCACCACCAGGAGGAGACGCAACATAACGGAAGATTTTCGACCGAGAGCTTTGACAGGCGGTCGTCGTATGCGGAGGAGAAGGTTGTGCCTACAGTGACACAGGTAGCTCCTGTCCATTATGGCAGTGACAGCGACAGTGATGATGACTACAAGCCCGCTCTCGCCTCCCCTGTCGTCCACCACCAACAACCAAAGGAGGCTTCCTTCGGGGATTTCGGCGAGGAGCCCCTCGCCCACAACAACATGTTCCAGTCCTCGGCCCTTGACCCCCGCGCCTCCGTCAACTCTGCTAAATCGTTCTCGAGCCACACTAAGCACCACTCATTCGGGTATGACGAGAGACCAGCTGAGCACGACGTCCCCTCCGAGTCCGAGTCCGGGTCGTCGTCCGAGGCCGATGAGCCAGAGAAGAAGAACAAGCTGAAGGAATTGTCGTCGACGTTGATGAGCGCCGCCGCCGTTGCTCCCGTGTCGCCTCCTACTACTACTACCCAGGCACCTCCAATTCCCAACAAATCGCGTCCTACCTCCACCATCTCGCTTGCCTCTCACAACTCGCTGGCTTCGCCACGCTCGCCTACTTTTGCCCGGTCGATGGGATCTCCGGTTGCTGAGCGCTTGGAGCAGCCTGCTGCCACTCGCGCTCCCGACTCACCTATGGTCTCTGCTGCTTCTGCTCCTGTTATTGCCGCCGCCGCCGCCGCTGTTGCTGCTGCTGCCACAGCTGCCGTTGTTGCTAGCCCACCTACATCTGCACCTGTACCTGCACCAGTCACCCCTGCCGCTCCTATCTCACCTCCCTCTCCACCTGCTAAAGACACCATACCCTTGGCAGTCGACACCGTCTCTCAAAAGTCGGCCTCCTCTACTTCGTCCTTGGACGCCAGGCAGAAGGCCTCGGGATACGACAGCGACACCTCAGGAACCTCGATTGACCTCCACTCGCCCACCTACAAAAGCCAATCCTCCAAGATGACTCCTCCCAGCGTATTCACCCGCACGTTCTCCTCCAGCTCCTCAGGAGGAGCCAAGGACACCAAGGTCAATAATGGCCCTGCCAGTCCCGAGAGAACCCGCCCCATCTCATACGCGACCGTTTTCTCGGATGCCGATATGAACGATGTCAACTTGATGGATGAACCCCAAGCCTCTGATCAGCGCGCCAGCGTGGTTGTGCCTCGCACGCCTGTCACCCCTTCGGCCTTTGGCTTCGCGTCCGGCTTTTTCGGTGGAGCAGCAGCGCGGTCTCAACCTACACCACCACCACCACGACCATTTTCTTCTTCGTCGCAGCCTCAGCAGGTTCCTCTTCCTGCTACCCCTGTTCAGGCCACACCATCGACCCCTGTTGCACCTACCCCACCACCCAAGACAAACGACACTCGCTCTCGTAGTACGTCGATCAGCGCCTTTGCAAGCACCATTGGTGCCTTTGCCCGCGGCTTTTCGTCGCTGAGCCAGCCTCCCGTGCCCCCAATGCCCGCCAGGACTCCCAGTCAGATCAGCCAGCGCACTTCGAACGCACCTGCACCATCCACATTTGCCGCTTTCGGTCAGCAACAGCAGCAACAGGATCCTCGCAACTCTTCGGCTACCAGGAGCATGACCTCTGCTAGAGCTTCGACCATCTCGAACGCGACCAACGATTCCAATATGGACATGCTGTTGGCGCGTTTGGAGGCCCAGAACGAGTTGTTAGCGCAGGAGTCTAAGCGTCGCGCCACTACTGAGTCTGACATGGACCGTGCCCTGAACCATGCCAAGGAGGAGGCCGCACCCGGCGATGATGTCGACTGGGGTAAATTTTGTTACACTTCATAGTTTTGTTAGCAACGAGATGTTTTTGAGTGCATTTTTCTAACGTTACTTTCTAAACTACATTGACGAATCTAGACTACTGGGGAGCACTGATGCACGATTACAACGGCGTAGTGAGGCGGAACCCCAAGCAGCTGACAACCATGATCCAACGTGGCGTCCCCTCGGCTCTGCGTGGCCTGATCTGGCAGCTGCTGGCGAAATCCAAAGACGCTCAATTGGAGGCAACATTTGCAGAGCTGCTCAAGTCGACCAGTTCACACGAGAAGCAGATCACCAGGGACATGACCCGGACGTTCCCTAATCACGAGTACTTCACGACCGAGGGCGGTGTGGGCCAGGAGGCACTGTTTAATGTTGCAAAGGCTTATAGTCTTTATGACCCAGAAGTTGGGTACTGCCAGGGGATCAGTTTTATTATCGGACCCCTCCTTTTGAACGTAAGTCGTTTTTTTTCGATGTTTCAAGTGTTTTGTTTCAGAATGAGCAATAATGATTGTGTATGTTGTAAGGTGTTTGATATCTAACGCATCCAAATTTTTTCGTTCTCCTAAACATGAATAGATGCCAGAGGAGGAGGCGTTCTGCATGCTAGTCCGGATGATGCAAACCTACGAGATGCGCGGCCACTATACCCCCGACATGGAAAAACTCCAACTTCGCCTCTACCAATTCGAACAACTGATGGAGGAAACCGTGCCCATGGTGTTCAAGCATCTCCGAAACCAGGGCATCCGGTCCACCATGTATGCGTCCCAATGGTTCATGACTGTCTTTGCCTACAAGTTCCCGCTCGAGTTGGTCTTTAGAGTGTACGATATCCTGCTTGTTGAAGGTGCCGATGCGCTGTTGCGGTTTGCGATTGCGCTGTTGAAGATGAACCATGATCGGATCTTGTCGTTGGACTTTGAGGTCTTGATTGAATTCTTGAAGCATGGTCTCTTTGAGCCCTACATGGTACGTTTCTTTCGCCTTTGCTGACTGTGTTTTTTTTGGGCGTTTATTTGAGAGCCATGTGTGTTTTTTGCGTTTCGTACTTTTTGCTAACGGCTCTCATCTTTTGTTACCCCTCTTCATTGTAACACAGAATGACGCAGGTCTGTTCATCAGGGACGCGTACGAGGTCAAGGTGACCCCCAAGAAACTTCAACAATACGCTCAAAAGTATCAAGCCCTCCTCCAGAAGCAACAAGCCGAACTGGCCGCCGAAGAGAACCTCCGCGAATCCAACCGTCTCCTCTCGACTCAAGTCCGAACCCTTGAGGGATCCCTCCACCAACTCAACAAGGAACACGTCGACCTCGCCAAGGAGCTCATCACGCGCAAATTGGATATGGCTCAGCTATCCGACAAGAACGATGTTCTTGAACAGAAGGTGTCGGACTTGGTCAGGATTGTGGATTCACAAGGCAAGGAAGTCGAGGAGCAGTACAAGGGCGAGATCGAGGATGTGTTGAGGAAGAACATGGAGATTCTGAAAAAGAATGAGCAGTTGGAGGATCAGTTGGCGTACATGGAGTCGTTGTTGGTCGAGACAAAGATGAAATATGCAGAGTCTGAGATTGAGCGCGATTCGTTGAGTCGAAAACTTAGCGATATGCGCAAGGCACTCGTTTCCATGTAACTTACCTTCTATCTTCTATCTTCTATCATAATCTCTTTTTTTCTTTTTACATTTGTTCAGCATTCTACAAGCTTATTACCTAGAGCTTCTCCCTTCTTTTCCTCTAAACCTTTCTTTTTTTTTTTTTACATACGCAAACCATCATAAAACAGAATGGATAATTTATTTCAAGCAAACAATACTTCTTTTGCTTACCTGTCGAACTTTGTCTGCATGATGCATTGCGATGTAATCATGCCTGCTATCTCGACCATGCTTCGCACGCCCTTTGTCTATTTTGCCTCGCTGTCTATCTCACCCTGATGTGTTCATTTTTTTTGCATTTGGCACGGAAAAGGGTGTTTTCATTTTTGGAGTGTTGGAATACCGTTCTCCCTCCACGCGTTTCGCGTGGGAGAGAGAGAGAGAGAGACGTGGGAGAGAGACGTGGGAGACAGACGTGAGAAAGGGAGGAAGAGGGATAAAGGGGGGTAAAATGACATGTTTTAACGAGTGGGTGGGATAGATGGAACTGCGAGAAAAAAAAGGGGGGGAATGGATGGGAGACGATGAGGAGGGGATGCACGGCGAAGTATGCAAATAAGCGGAAAAGTGAAAAAAAAAATTGGCAAAGAGGCGGCATCATCGTCATCTAGAGGTGGCCATGGTATGTTGGACTTCATGCAATTGCGCAGAAAGAGAAGGCTATGTTTGGGATTGGAAGGTAAGGAGAACCTCATTTGGGTTATTTGTCATGGCGTTATGCGTTATGGTATTGGATCCTCATGCTGTTGTTTTTTTTTTTTTTTTTTTTTTTTTTGGGAAGGGCATGTTATGAAAAGCAACATTTTGGATGAAAGGGGAACGACACTGTTGTGTATGCGCTTTTGCATGAGGTGCCTGTGTGTTTGTTTTGATAACGTACTCCCTCTCTTTCTCTATCATTCTCTCTTCCCCTTCGTCTCCAAGGGTGGCGCACCGTCAAAAGTGTTTACTTTTTTGGGCAAGATGAATTGAACGATGGACGGATAGGAGCAGACAACGGTGACAAGGGGAGGGGAGACGTAGGGAGGGTGGAGGGTGAGTCCTCCGCCATTGGAGAGTCTCATAGTGAGTCGAGAAGGCGAGACGAAGGCATGAACGACATGGCATTTGTGGACTGGGCTGAAGGCGTGTTGACATGAAAGCGAGAGGAGTGGATGAGGGAGAGAGGAAGGCGGAAAAGGAGGCATGCACCGAAGAGGGGCAAGGGGGTAGTGGGGGTAGGGATGAGCGGCAGATAGAGGTCGACGAGAACGACATGCCTTCTCCTTTCTCTCTTCACTTCCAGGGATGAAGAAGGAGAGCAAGAGCGAGAGCAAGAGGGGGCATGGCTCAACCTTCGCGACGCGTGTCTTTTTTTGTCTGTTCAAAACTTCAAACAAAAAACCAGGCAAAGAGAAAAGACAGGGAGAAGGGGGGAGAGAAGCACAATGACCGATAGGATGAACATGGCATGGACATGGCATGGCATCGCATAATCTCCCGCGTTGTCTTTCCACTACTTCTGGGGATGAAAAAAAAGAAAGAGGGGCAATGGTATGGTCGGTGGTGGATGGTCGATGTTCGATATGTTTACTCATGCCTTATATTCAGGAAAGTGCTAACCACCCTTCGCTTCTCCTCCCTTTGCTTTTTTTGTTTTGTTTGTTTCTCTGCTTTGTGTGTGTGTATTCTTTGTGCGGTACTCGCCCCTTATTATTTTTTTATTCTCTCTTCTTTCTACTTCCTTTTTTTGTCCTCTTACTTCTCTCTTCTTCTCTTCTCTCTTTCTTTCTTTTTTCATCCATACTTCTCCACTACACCTCTCATACCCTCCCATCACATCGTTCCTATCGTGATTTAGACATCTTTCTTCTCTTGATCATAGCAACAAGACACACTTTTGTATACCCCTCTTCTCAGTCGATCTAGTCTCACACACGCACACACCTTACACATACACTCAGCCTTATCTCCTTCTTTCCTTCCTTCTTTCTTTCCCACTTGCCCCTTCTCCTTTTCCCGCAGTCAGTCCAGTCCAAGGAGAACATTTCCACATAGTTGAACACATCGTCACTCTTTTCCACTCCCGGACGCATAACACGCGAGTCTACTTTCTTTGACCGACCAAATCCCGAACCTCAATTGCTCTTTCAAATCCTCGCCGTCGCCTGATTCGAACTCGCCACTCTTTCTTTTCTGGAAAGCAAACTGTTCCTCCACAGCACTTCTCAGAAAATCCACCCTCTCTTCACTTCCCACACAAAACCAAATTACACATACTCCAATGGCTGCCGCGGGCGAGTCTGCCAAGAAGAGCAGGTAATTAACAAGAAAGCAGGACGCAATTGAAAACTGGCGAGTAACTCCCCGGACACCCTTCCTGGTGGCGATGAAAGGGTGGATGTGGTGGTGGGGATGTTAGCAAATGTGGTCGTTATTGTTTCCCTTTCTTATTCAAGTTCAGAACCCCTATCGAAAAGCACAAAAATGAGTGTGGGAGTGTTTTCTAACATCACCATATTCTTGCCCCTCTATCTCTTTGCCTCTCTACATTACCGTGTTATGCTACCAAACCTTCGTTTCTGCGACTGGCACCATCTCGACCAACAATTGTATCGACTTCGACTATGTGTAAACCAACAATATCGTCAACAGTGGCTCTTCACACAACAGCGTGGTGATCAAGGTCGGCATGGTCGGCGACTCACAAATCGGCAAGACGAGTCTGATGGTCAAATACGTCGAAGGTTCCTTCGACGAGGACTATGTCCAAACCTTGGGTAAGCAATTGGCAGTTGTCAATTGGCATTGAGAATACTAGTGAAAGCCTTGAATGTTCACATTGTGTTTTTGTTGTCAATGGCCCGATGGATGTCGCGTTGCTACTCTCTGCTCGCGTTATCGTTTCTGTTACCTATTGATACTGCCTTCCCCTCCTTCCCTTCTCCCTACCCCTCGTCTTCCTCTTTTCTTACCCCTTTGCGAATGGACGTTTGTTGTTGGCATCTCTCTCACTTGTTTTTCTTCCTTTCTCGCGCCCCCCTGGATCTGCACGTCTCGTACCTTCTGACCTTCTTTCCTTTGTTCCCCATCGTCATCAATGCCGAACCTTGCCCGGTCGGTCTGCATATAGGTGTCAACTTTATGGAAAAGACGATTTCGATCCGTAACACAGAAATCACCTTCAGCATATGGGATCTCGGAGGTAAGCTAAGCAAAAACACAAACACACACAAACAACATCGGGAAGAGCGCTCCCCCAAGGGCAAGACCAGTGCCCGGGCTTCTTGTTTGATTTCTCTCTCTCTCTCTCTCTCTCTCTCTCTCTCTTTGTCCTTCGTTTTTGAGTTGGGCGGATGTGAGGTGAGGAGGGCGATAGAGAGAATTTTTTTCTCTTTTGACTCTTTGGGTACCAGAGGTTGTTTACCATGTTCTTCCCCCTTTTTATTTTTACATCTCTCCTTCCTTCTCTCCACAAACTGCAATGCAACACAAACAACAGCGACATCAACAAACGTATCAAAGTTCTTGTGTAATGGAATACAGGAATGGAAATACGCGAGAAAGTAAGGGATGAGAGAGAGAGAGAGAGGCAAATATCGGAGAGACAGGGTCAAAGAGAGTCAGTGTGTTGGCCAGGGAAGGGGGAAGAAATCTGGAGGATGAAGGATGGCCCAACACACAACAACCCTTTGTTTGTCACATAGTGGGTACACTTTTATTTGTGTGGGCACAGAGTGTTTCTGTTCTTACTAAAGTAGCGAATACACATCCCACCTACCATCCATCCATGTTTCTTGGGGTAGTTGTTGCATACAATTAACGCGCGGATTCACACACGACTCCACACGACACCTTTTCTCCCTTTTGACCCTTTGAACCCTTTGAACCCTTTGTCCCCCTTCCGTATCCTTTTGGCTTGTTCATTTCCGCCTACTCCACCTCTCGTCATTACGAGAAGGAAAGGGAAAAAAGGAGTGATCTGGAATCTCGCCTTATGGACAACCCTACAAAAAAAGGTTCAGCAAGAAAATCACCCACATCACACAGGAAGGGCAACTCAATGTCAACCCCTCAGGAGCAGCAGTAATACATCTAACAAAACCAATTGATACGAGCGACAGCAGGAGGGACAAGATGTATTAATTCACCACCCGACGACGGACGGACGGATGGCATCTACTCTTCCCCCTTTTCGTACCCCCTGTACCCCATCCTCTTCCCCTTTTCACTTGGAGTGTTGAACAGGAAAGGCTGAAAGGAAGGACGAGGGAGGACAATGGTTAGGGAGAAGACGCTCTCTTGTTTACAGCGTTGGATATAGGAATACCAGTGGTTGAGAGAGAGGATATGGGTGTTTGTGGCAGGACAGAAAGGAGTCAAAGCTGAGGCGAGTAAGCATGGATTCATTGGATGCCATTGCAAACAGCAAACAAACAAACACCAACAATTGGATCTCCTTGCATTTGGATTGCGCTCAGGTCCATCACTCTCTCCTATCTTCTTTGCCTTGTATCATTGTATCATCCATGGTACAAAACGAAGGAAAGAAAAGGGGTGAACAGAGAGAAAGAGAAGGGTTAATTTGTGTGCAATTCATCTAACATTACTTGCTTGCCGTCATGGTTAGGTCAACGGGAGTTTGTCAACATGTTGCCGTTGGTCTGCAATGACGCAGTTGCGATCCTGTTCATGTTTGATCTCTCGCGCAAGTCGACTCTCAACAGTATCAAGGAGTGGTATCGACAGGCAAGAGGCTTCAACAAGGTACCGTACCTGACCTGTCGTACAGTGCAACAACGACTGTGTGCTCTTTCTACACTGCTGCACCTTCTTCAATCGGGAGAGTCGTCATGTAGGCACATCACAAAATGCATCATAGCTGAGCTAGTCTCTTTCTTTTACCTCACCTTATAGACTGCCATCCCGTTCCTTGTCGGGACAAAGTACGACTACTTTTCAACGTTTTCCAAGGAGGAACAGGAGGAAGTGACCAAACAGGCAAGTTCGCTTCCCTTTCCTTCCGGAACACTCTCGCTTGCTGTGGTCACACCGATGTGTACCTTTTGTTTTTCTTTCGCAGCAAGAAAACCTAGTTTTGTCATCCTAACCTAACCAAACCTTTTTTTTTCTTCTCTTTTCTTCACAAATTCCCGCTCCACAAAAAACCACAACGATCTAGGCGCGCAAGTTTGCGAGGGCGATGAAGGCCCCATTGATCTTTTGTTCGACATCACATTCGATTAATGTGCAAAAAATCTTCAAGATTGTGCTCTCCAAGGCCTTTGACCTCAAGTGCACCATCCCCGAGATCTCTGAAGCAGGCGCCCCCATCCTCGAGTACGCCTCCAACTAAATTTCTTCATGTGGCTCTGCACTCCTTTTTTTCCTCTCGTGCTCAGAAAAGGCTCCGTTGGAGGTGCAGCAGCAGCGGACAGGGGATAGAAAATCAAACGAGGCCTGGGCGCGCTGAGGTTTCCGCATATTTCTTCTTCAGTCGCTTCTTTCTATTATTATTCTCATTCATGCCTCTCATGACATCTGATCTCTCTCTTTCTTTCCCAATGTACCAACTCATGGATACAACACTTTTTTTCCCCCCCTTCTTGCTTCCCTTCACTCCAATAGTACGGAGTGAAAGGGACCACCTTTCCCTTTTAACTTTTATCCGGCTAATGTTTTTTTGTACACTTTGTTCGCTTAGAACATCATCCACGTTTTTTTTTCACTATTTGGTGTCACACTCATTCTCAACCGTATCCATTTTTTTTTCTTCTCCGCTTCTTTTCGTGCTTCCTCAGCACCCAACCCTCTTTTTTTGTAACCCATGTCATCGCCACGTTGTTTGCTAACGTATCCTCCTCTTGTCCACTCCTTCCCCTCTGCATAACCTTGTAAATATCTTTTTGTCAATAAACAACGATAACCCAAAGAAAAAAAAAAAAGAACCAACAAACTGTAAATAGGGTCAAGCGGAGACTAAGAAAAGCGACAAAGAGAGGCCACAACAGCTTCAATGCAAAAAAAAAAAAAAAAAAAAAAAAAGGAATGTGTATTAAAGAGTAGAGTAGAGTAGTGCAAAAAAAATAATGAAAAGGGACGAAAACAGGAGAAAGAGGGGTGGGGGGGGTCTAGAATCGCATTACTGATTCAAGGCGGCGTTGGAGCTATAGCTGACAGGACGTTCCTGAGTAGGAATATCATTAGTCGTGGTGCTCTCTTGCTTGGTAGACTTCTTGAACGGGTTCCAACTCTTCTTCTCGACCACATGCGCAGGTGTGTCCACATTGTTTTCATAATTTGTCGTCGTTGCGCCGTTGTTGTACTCGTTATTGTACCCGTCGCCGTTGGGGGCCAAATAAGTACCGTTGGGGGCCGAATAGCTGCCGTTAGGATAGGTCGGGTCGGGACGGACTGTTCTGGAGCGAGACCCACAGAGCGACCAGTCGTTGTCGTGGTTGTGCGAGGATTGGCCCTGCTCGATCAACCTCTGCTGTCTATGTCTCCATGACAGTGTCTGGAACAGGATTCCTAGGACGAACAATCCTCCGATAACTCCCAACATGATGTAGATGTTTGTGTTGAGGTAGTAGTCGACATGGTCATTGTTCGTTAAAAAACTCTTGATGGATTCCGAGAATCCAGTCCTTGCGAAGAGATCCACGCCAAGGACGGTGATGTAAGAGCCCACGATGGCGGTGGCAGGGATGAGGATACGACGACCCATGACGAGGGCGATGAGAAGACCTAGGACGGAGGCACCGACGAGGAGACCAATGCGTCCGCCAGGGCTACGAATGAGTCCCTCACTGCGCCAGGCGAGGATGTAGAGGGCTAAGATCAAGCCGGCGAGGGCGCCGAGAATCCACACCGTGAAACGGTTTAGGAGCCAGCAGATTACGCCGAGGAGGAGGCCGCCACCGAGACAGGAGAAGACGTAGATGATTTGGCGGTCGTTCCAGCCTTGTTGTGGTTCTACGTTTGCCAAGATCGAGTATACGATTACGCCTATTTTGCATCGAACAAATGAAAAGAAAGAGGAAAGGGAGAGAGAAAAGGTTGGTGGCACGGGGATGTTATTTGATCAGTGAAAGAAAAGCGCGTACATTTTTTCCATCTCCGCAAAACGCGCACGATTTTTGATCCAGAATAAATATAAAAAAAGACTGTGCTTACATCCGGCGATGAATCCAGCAAGGAACATAGAAAATCGGTAATGGCGGTAACCACGGAAGGTCAAGAGGATGCCAATGAGAATGAGGATAAAACCTGCAACGATTCGTTGCCAGGTCAGGGTGCTCGAATTACTGTCGCCGTTGCCGTCTATTACAAAACAAAAAGGATGAACAATGGAAGGTTATTTGGTAAAAAAAAGTGGGTCTCTGCATTGGATATCGTACTGAGAAAGAGAAGGAAAAGGAAACTTACCGGAGGGATCCTGGGCGAGAGCGAGGAGAGGCAACATGGAGAGGGCGAGGATCTGGAGGGGGACCATCAGCCTTGCGGCGATGGGGTGGTTGGTGGTGGTGACACCCATTTGCTGTTGTTTGACGACAAGAAAGAACACGGGTGTGACGCTGTGTGGGTGGTACTTTGCGAATTTTTTTTGGTGGGGGAAAGATAAGTAAACGGAAGGAGGATGAGGTGAAAGGGAAGAGGAAAGGAAAAGTTGACGAGAGAGAAAAAGGAAGAAGAGATGATACGAAAAAGACGGCTGCCGACGCATTTTAACAGGACCCACAGCGATGTCTATTCTCTTTGTGAAGGGTGCTGAAACTAGGGCGGAAAATTATGAACGAATCAGCTTCGAAGAGAAAATAAAATCACGATGGTGGCAGGTGGTGAGAAAACGAGGTATGACCTAATGAGGGCCGGACTGGCTGTCGGTTATCGCCACTGTCGGCTCCAGTATGGATATCGTCCATCGTCAGGAAATGGGATCATCAGTTTCGGCTGCTTACGAGGGGAATGTGCGGGGTAGAGCAAGAAAGCACCAAAAATGGTGTCAGTTCGACATGTCTCGCTTAATGGTGCTTGTGATGAGGAAAAAACTATTTTCTTGCACCATACAAAGAGAGACATATATTCATCTCGTCAGCGCGAAAAATAATAATTGTAGGCGACGAAGATATTACACGTTCAAGTGTCAGGCAATGGCACCTGTATTCTTGTGAACGCATATGTCCAGGCAGTGCGGTTTCTTGGTTGAGTGCAACAGCAAGTCCCTGAGTCGTGTAATCCCCCCTTTCTCTCTCTCTCTCTTCGTTTCGAATTGTGCCGGAGGGTTAATGATGGGTGAGCATCATGAAAAATGAGCTTGCAGCATTTTTTATTTCCTTTTGAAGCATGACTGTACAATCCTTGCATTATACCGTGAATGAAAAAGACAATTCTATAGAGGAGGGTTTGGTCTGTCATGGCGAAAGCCCAGAACCTCCAGGCTTCAAGGAAAATGTACAATTGGCAATTGCAATTGCGCCTGTGCGTGTATGCGCAACCCAACAAATCAAGGTAAAGAAGAGTTGGAGTTGTTGTGGACATAAAATCACTTTATCCGGGAAAAGAGTGAAGGAGAACAAGGTTGCCCTGAGTGGCAGACTGAAACCCAAAAAGGTAAAAAGGATGCCTGCGTTAGAGTTTCGAGGTGTGGAAATGACAACAATAGGGGCTCCCACTGTTCATTAAAAAGGAAAAAAAGAAGAGCAGGCATGTAGCCTTGCTTTTTAGGTGCTTGAGGTGCTCATCTTCCATCCTTATCCACCCTTTGGATAAGCTTGTGTCGTTCATGGTTGTTTGTTGTTCTTTTGCCAAGATAAATAGCGAAATAATTCTGGGTATATAAGTGCTTTCATCCCTCAGGCTTTTGGTCCTCAATTATATCTGTACCTACAATTTCTCTTCAACGCACACCTTATTCGTTCGCTTGCATACTATTTTCCTCAGCCAACACTCAACAAACACCAGCTCACCATGGAAGAGCACACTTCCTCGGCAAAGGATGCTAAGGATTCTTTCGAATCGGAAAAGAGAGAAATTCAACCTGCCTCCTCGGTAGTAGACATCGCTGCTACTCCCTCCTCCGTCGACCTCGCCGACAAGGACGCTGTTGAACTCGACAAGAATGGCAAACCTGTACCTAAACCAGAGTCAAAGATTGCATACATGAGACTCTACCGCTTTGCCTCACCCTTTGACCTCCTTTGCGTCCTGTACGTGTCCCTCTTGTTATCTTTAACAGTGAAAGCCGAATTTAACTGAGTAGCAACCAACCCTGACCCTGGTTTTGTATTTTATGTTCAATGTTAGCATTGGCACCGTGTGTGCATTCGCCAATGGTGTCGGTCAGCCATTGGTCGCGTTGCTGATGGGCAATGTCATCAACAGCATTGCCCAGCTCAACAGGCCCGGCGGTACTACCGCTGACGCTGCCTCAAACGCCGAGCTCATCTCCGAGTTGCGCATCCTCGTCATCAAGTTCACCGTGGTAGGTGCCATCATCTTCTTTGTCGCTTACGGCCAGATGTGTCTCTTCACTCTCTCAGCTGAGAACCAGACCAAGCGGATCCGAGAAAAGTACCTCCATGCTGTCCTCCGCCAGGATATTACCTGGCATGATATTGGCAAGAAGAGCGAGTCTCTCAATTCGCGCCTTAGTGCTGACGCTCAGTTGATCTTTGATGGTCTTGCTGACAAGGTTGGCGTCTGTCTCTCGTCCTTGGCTACCTTTGTTGCGGGCTTTGTGATTGCGCTTACTCACGGTTGGAGAATGACTTTGGTCCTCATGACCACTGTCCCTTTGATGGCTGGTAAGTTGTGATAAACATATTTTTGTTTTTTGACAATCATACTGTAGTTTGTAGTTTTGAGAGTGAAACTGACCAGCGCGTTTTCTTTTGGTTGTTCATCTGTGTCACTGTAGCTGCTGGAGGACTTATGGCCAAATATTCTGGAGACAACTCAGCAGATGGTCAGGACTCCTATGCCGTTGCTGGAGCGATGGCTGAGCAGGCCATTGGCTCCATCCGTACCGTCGCCGCTTTTGGCGGTCAGAAGCGCGAGCTCCAAAAGTTCGATGCACTCCTTGAGGAAGCGTACAAGTCCGGCGTCAAAAAGTCCATCGCAACCGGATTAGGAACAGGATCCTTCATGATGATTATGTTTATGGGTTACTCCTTGGCTTTCTACTACGGGTCGCGTCAAGTCCAGGACGGAAAAATGGAGCCTGGAAATGTCATGACAGTCTTGTTCTCAACCATGATCGGTGCCATGTCTATCGGAAATTGCAGCCCCAATATTGCCAGCTTTGGTAAAGCGCAAGCTGCCGCTTATACCATCTTCACCACGATCGACCGCGTCCCTGCCATTGATTCTTCCGATCCCTCAGGACTCAAACCCGACAACTTGCAGGGTCACATCGTCGTCAAGAATGTCAACTTTGCCTATCCTAGTCGCCCCAACGTCCCCATTCTCAAGCAGATGAACATTGAGGTCAAGCCTGGTCAAACCGTTGCTCTTGTTGGTCACTCTGGATCAGGAAAGTCGACAGTCATTGGTCTCGTCGAGCGGTTTTATGACCCATCCTCCGGAACGATTACGATCGACGGTATTGAGATCAAGGACTTCAACATCCGTCACTTGCGCGACAGCATCGGTTTGGTCTCCCAGGAACCCGTTCTCTTCAACGCCACTATCAAGCAGAACATTTTATACGGCGTCCGCAAGGATCAGAAGCAGCCTACCGATGCAGATGTGGAGAATGCCTGCCGTCTCGCCAATGCCTACGACTACATATCCAAGCTCCCCAAAGGTTATAACACCATGGTCGGCGAGAAGGGCGCGTTGCTCTCTGGAGGTCAGAAGCAGCGTATCGCCATTGCTCGTGCATTGATCAAGAACCCTTCGATCTTGCTCTTAGATGAGGCCACCTCCGCCTTGGATACCGAGTCTGAGCGTATCGTCCAGGCTGCATTGGATAACGCTGCCACCGGTCGCTCGACTATTGTCATTGCCCATCGTTTGTCGACCATCATGAACGCCGACCTTATCTATGTCATGGACAAGGGTGTCGTATTGGAGTCTGGAACCCACGCGTCTCTCATGGCCCTTGGAGGAACCTACACCGACTTTGTTGCCAAGCAGCAGCTCAAGACTGGAGGAACCGATGTTGAAGCACCCGATTATGTTGCTGATCCAGACGCCATCGTTACTGCCTCTAGCTCGCATGTTGGTATTGACGAGAAAGCCAACCTCGAAGGTCACCAGACCGGCCGCCTCAAGGGCAACCTGCTCCGTCGCATGTCGTCGCATCACTCAGACAAGGCCGTTGCGGCCAAGGGTTCCGTGGTTGTTGATATCGCCGAGGACAAGGAGATGACCATGGCTCGCGAAAAGAAGGAGGCTGCCAGGAAGTTGAAGCTCCAGAAGGCCCCCATCGCGCGCACCATCCGCCACATGAAGGCCGATTACCACATATGCCTCCTCGGGGTCTTCTTTGCCATCCTCCAGGGCTGTCTCTTCCCCAGCTTCTCTCAGATCTTTTCCGGCGCTATCACGACTCTCTCGATGGTAAGGGATTACGGCGATGACTTTATTCCAAAAGCCAACCACTACTCCCTCCTGTTCCTCATCCTCGCCTTTGTCGGTTTCTCTGCTTTCGCCGGCGGTATGTTCTTCTTCCTGCTGAGCGGCGAGCGTCTTACTCGGCGCATGCGCTACCTGAGCTACAAGGCGATCCTCAGTCAGGAAATGGCCTTCTTTGATCGCCCCGAGAACTCGACTGGCGCCCTTGCTAGTCGTCTTGCGACGGACTCTCAAGAGATGTTTGATATGGTCTCCCAGGTCATCTTGACCGCCGTCTCTGCACTGGCCACCATCACCCTCGGTCTCACGTTTGCATTCAGGGCGTCTTGGCAGATGGCTCTGATCATTCTTGCTGCCGTCCCCGTCATTGGTCTCGGAGAGTACCTTGAGGCCGCTTCGTTGACCGGGTTTGGAGCCAAGACCCGCAAGGCGTACGAAAAGTCTGGTCACGTCGCTGGAGAGGCTATCGCCAACATCCGCACCGTCGTCTCGCTCGCCAAGGAGGATGTCTTTGAGGCTCGGTACTTTGAGGTCACCAAGGAGCCCCACAAGTATGCGATTCACAAGGCTCTGTTTGCTTCCTTTGGTTATGCCATGGCTATGGCGGTTGCCTTTTGGAGTAACGCGCTCGGATTCTATGGCGGGTACCGTCTTGTCGAAGCTGGAATCATCACCTGGGGCAAGATGTTTGACTGTATGTTTGCGGTTGTCTTTCTCGCCATCAGCCTGGGTCACATCACGTCTGAGCTTCCCAAGTACGCCAAGGGCAAGCAGGCGGCCATTAATATTTATGAGCTGCTGGACAAGGACACTCTGATCGATGCTGACCGCGGCGGCTCCTCCTTCAAGACCATCGACGGCTCCCTTTCGTTGGACAAGGTCGATTTTCATTACCCTACCCGCGAGAACATCCAAGTCTTCCATGGAGTCGATATCCAGGTCAAGCCCAGTCAGACTGTCGCCCTTGTCGGTCCCTCGGGGTGTGGCAAGTCGACTGTGATTGCACTCCTCGAACGGTGGTACGACGTCGATGGTGGACAGGTGACTGTAGACAAGTACAACATCCGCGATCTGCAGTTACACAACATCCGCAAGCACATGGCCCTTGTCGGACAGGAGCCCGTTCTGTTCGACATGTCGATCAAGGATAACATCCTCTACGGACTTCCCGATTCTTCTGCTCCAGGTACGATCGAACAGGCCGAGGAGGCTGCCAAGTTATCCAACATCCACAACTTTGTCATGTCCCTCCCCGACGGATACAACACCCCAGTCGGCGACAAGGGGTCCCAACTCTCTGGAGGCCAGAAACAGCGTATTGCAATTGCTCGGGCCCTAATCCGAAACCCCAAGGTGCTACTCTTGGACGAGGCGACGTCGGCGTTGGATTCCGAGTCGGAAAAATTGGTCCAGGACGCATTGGATCGGGCGCGGTATGGCCGCACAACGATTGTGATTGCTCATCGATTGAGTACGGTTCAGGATGCGGATTTGATCCTTGTGGTGAAGGATGGGCAAGTTGTTGAGTCTGGTCGTCACTATGAGCTTGTTGGTCTTGGAGGTGTCTATGCCGATCTTTGTCAACAGCAGAACTTGTAGCTGGTTTTTTTTCTTCATCTTTTGTTATCTTATTGTCGTTGTATACGTTTTATTATCTATTACCGTAGCACCTATAAAATAACCAGTAGTGAAGTTGCGATTGGTGTTTCCTGCGAGTGAATTGAAAGTGAGTTCACCTGAACCTGAACGTGTGGTGTGGATACGAATGCAAGAGTATACAACGACCCATCGGCAAGCACGTTTCTGGCATCTTTTTTTGTCCAAAAAAAAGTCAGCTCGTGAGGATGAGTAGAAACAAGACGGCAACTGCCGGTGGTCTCTTGGGAAGGTAGTAAGAGTTCGGAGTTGAAGCGGAGCGGAGATGTCTTCATCCTCAAATCAAGTGTTGGACACTTTTTTGTTGTTCAATGGTGCTGTGACAGAGGTAGTGAGGTGGGTCTCTTTGCTAGCGCGCTCTTGGTCTCTCTGTCTCCTTTTTCTTGGTAAGACATGCGGGTGTGATGACGAATAGAAGGGAGAATGATGCTCCGAAGACAAGAGCATGGAAAGTGAAAGGCAAAGGTAAAGAAGGTAGCGCGGAGAAGGAGTGTGCATTGGGTTTGGATTTTGTGACGCGTCGACGTGGACGCAAACATTGAACAAGGATAAATCATTTTTCATGATGTCCAGCTGCTGCTGTGAATCTGTCTCCTGTTTATAGCCGTTGATTTGTGCGCCGTTGTCTCCAGTTCAAACTCCCTCCACCACTTCCCCCGCCTTTTTGCTGTTCCTCCTCACCATAGCCAGGCTCTCCTTTAGACATGTGCCTGGATGGAGACAAGACTAGCTTTACAGACAGGTCGTGGGAGACTCCACCTCGTTTTTACAGGGCGGCAGTTGAAATAGAGAGAAATACATGAATAAAGGTTCGACCTCCTTCGCCCATTCAACCGGACACCCACATCAAAAAGAATCAAAGGGGGCGTCAATTGGCGTCAGGAGCAACAACAACGGCAACATGTGTTGTCGACTAAAGCAACAAACAGCCTGAGAGACAAGTGTCTGAAACCAAAATACGTCTATTATGTGTGGAATGGGTTTAACGTGGGACAATAACAACATGCTAAGCAAAGCGGAGATATGTGTGAAGAGGGAGAACGAGAGAGAGGGGTTGCCGGCATGGTAGTTGTTGGTTTGTACGACAGGGGTGGGCTCGTTTGCGTTTGCTTAAATTGACCATTACACTGATCAGAGTTGTTCCTTTCAAATGGACAAGAAGCCATTCATTGTCCTTGCCTCTTCACATGAGAACAAACAAGAGAGTGAGGACTCTTTGAGTGCTTATGGCATCGCGGTTGTAAGAGCGAGGACTGCAATAGGGGTGTAGGGATGTGTAGGGATGTCGGATGCATAAAAGGCGGTGCATGGAGGCAAAAGAGAAGCGCCTGGACAAAGGCCAGAAGGAAACAAACAAAGAGATGAATCGAAGAGAGTTGGACATGTGTGCAATGTATACCAAATGTATATAGAGTGCATACAGCGTTCTGTTGTTTCTGAGCAACTCTAAGTTGCATATGATCCCGTCAGTGGCAAGCAATTGTCTCCTCTCCTCTCCTTTCTTTATCCGTTCCTTCCCCTTCTCTTCCTCTTCAGACTTCACTCCTTCCCTCTCCCCCTCCTCCCCTTCCTTCCTTCCTTCCTCCTCCTCCGTCCTTCTCACTCTCACTCTCACTCTCACTCTCACTTTCACTCTCACTTTCACTCTCACTCTCACTCATTCGCATTCACCTTGTCTCCCTCCTTTTCTTTTCATTCACACTTGCATAGTTCCACCTACACTATCCTGACACAGAAACTCCTCCCCTTTTTTCGCACCCCCTCCTTCTGTATTCTCCCTCCACACATTCACAATGAAGTTCGGCAAGACCCTTTTCAGAAATCAGGTACACCTCTACAAGCCTCGACTTCTCTCTTCTCCTCATCCATTCATTCTTTTGCTCGTTCTTTTCAACAAGGCGACGCCAGTCGAAACCTTGACTCAACAAGGACTCTGTCTTTCCTTCCTCGTTGGCTTGCATTCCTTGTGTGACCCTGATCTCCTAGATCCCTGAATGGACACGCCACTATGTCTCATACAAGGGCCTCAAGAAGGAGATCAAGAATGGTCAAGAAGCCATCGCCAATGGCGAATCCACCATCGACGACGTTCTTTTAGGTAAACTTTAACAACAGCACACCTTGCTGATCATCCTGTGGGGAATGACTTGTGCATGGCAAAGTAGTCAACAACGACAAAGCAGAGTTCTTGACTAAACGGTTCACACTTATTTTTGGAATATACGCTGCACAGCGTTTATTTTCCATCTGGACAGAGAGGTAGAAAAGGTCAACAACTTTTTCCTCTACAAGCGATCAGAGTTGGAGCGCAGACTCCGCATCCTGTCCGAAAAGTCAAGGCGCATCAACCCAACTTCAACCCTCTCTGGATCCGCCCTTTCCTCAACCCCAGCATCAGGAACTCCTCAAATCGTTGTCAATGGAGCTGCTGTTGCTAAGACGCGCTTCGACCTGTCGATTGTAACTTCGCCTAATGGATCGGCGTCGGCGTCGGCTGGTCCTTCTGTTGTGCCACTATCGCCCTTTGTCAGCGATCCAGAAGCCGATGCAGAGTGTCTCCAAGCCTTGATAGAAACCAAGGAGAAACTTCAAAAGCTCTCTTGGTTTGCAGAAATGAACAGGCGTGCAGTCCAGAAGATCCTCAAAAAGTAAGTCAATTTCATGCTCCTTTCTTTTTTTTTATTTCATCTATTGGGCATAATAGTAATCAATTCCTCCGAATGGCCCAGTTCCCATGATGGTCAGCGCACTACTTCTATCGACACATTCTTGGTTCTCTTGTCCCGGCCTACATTTTTCTGTCAACATTCGTCAACGTGGGCGCTAAGAAGCAAGAGGCGAGCGGGAGAAGAGAATGACCCTATCAACCTCCCATGGGCTCACCACGTGTGTCGGGTCAACCAAATCCGTAGTTTAACCACTGAAGCGTTTTCCTGGGGCAAACAATGACTTACGTTCATTACCTTTTGCGTTATTTTTTCACTCGCATAGGTTCGACAAGCGTGCGTCAACAATCTGCAAGGATGACTACTTGGCAACAAAAGTCAACGCCCTCCCCTTCGTCTTGGACGGTCAGCTTCTGGAGATGACTATTGCGACCGATGTTCTTATTCGGGAGATCCGCGCCGTCGTTACGGATGTGCCCCCACCTCAACTCGGCTTGGCATCCCAGCGTGGAAGCGCAGAGTCTCGTTTCGGATTGAGTGACGAGCAGGTTGCAGAAGCTACCAAGGCAATCGAGAGCGATGATGCTGCTACTTTGAGGAGAATCATTGACGAGAAGCTCAAGGAGTCTCCCCAGATGAAGGACGTCCTCTTTTCTGCAACCAAGTCTGGTCGTCCTGGCCAAGTAAAACATCTCTTTGCCATGTCACTTTAATGATTGATCAGAAAGATTAATAATGGTTATTAATCACATATTCTTATTTCTGATGAAAAAATCAATAGTTCTCGAGATCGCTGTTTAAGAGGGCGTGTCAGGTGCATGCATACAAGTGCATCTCTCTCATCATGTCGCTCGGAGCTGGAGCCCTCATGGTCAACGTCAACGAGCAAACTGTCCTCCACAAGTTGTCGATCGACGGTGGAGCATTTGCTCAAACGCATGATTCAGTATCCGGACCGGCAGGAACTGTTACCGATCATCAGCCTGCGCCCAAGGATGACCCTACATTGATCACCTTTATCTTGCAACAACTCTCTTCCAACACTCAGCTGGAGGCAGTGTGCAACCTCAACTCGACTGCCGATATCTTTGGTCGCCGCCCACTCCACTATGCTGCCATGCACGGATACCCCAACATCACCAGGGCGCTCCTCAAGGACTTGAAGACGTCGGGGGAATTCGTCGACTTTTCTAGCCACTATTGGTTCGACACTGATGGATTCACTCCTCTCATCTACGCCGTCTCCCGCGGCCATGCCGATGTCATGAAGGTCTTGATCGAGGAAGGCGATATCAAGGACGTTGACGCAATTGCTAACTGTAAGTTGGGACTTGACTCAAGCTGAATGGCAATATCTATTTATCTGCATCCTTCCTTATCTGACACATGATGTACGTCTTTCCTTAGTATATGCGACGACGCCTTCGATCTCAAAGATTATGCCTTCGACTACTATGACCGTCTTGAACCCATTGGTCGGATCAGAAATCAACCTTCACGCTGCATACACTTATACTCCATTGTCAATCGCATGCCGTTTGGGACATGTGGAAGCTGTGAGGCTCTTGATTCAATATGGCGCCAACTTGGATGCTCAGGACGAGGACGGAGAATCTTGCTTGATCATTGCATCAAAGAATGGACATGTTGAGTGTGTCAAGCTGTTGATCGCAGGTGCCAAGAAGAGCGCCAACCTGGAACTCCGCGAGCGCTTTTACGGCTGGACCGCATTGCATCTCGCAGGTTAGGATCATTTCTGTGTCACTATCAGGAAGGATCTATCAACAAGGAGCGTGAATATTTTAATAACCTGGGCGATTTTCTTCATATTTACATAGCCATTGAGAACCACCCCGAGGTCATCAAGGTTTTGCTGGAAGCTGGCGCTAACCCTGATGTTTTCGACTTTTCGTCTTGGACCCCTCACGAGCATGCAGTTTTCTCTGCCAATAATATCTGTGCGGCCCTTCTCCGCCCTGTCACAAAGAATCTGGACGAACGGCAGCGCCTACAAAAGTTGGCTGCTAATGGCGAGCTTGGATTAGCCAGCCCTCCCAAGTCCAACGCCACTATTGCCACTTCAATGACGCGCAACCTCTCCTCAGGATCTACAGGAACTCCAGTCCGATCGCAGTCCCCTGATATCCCCAGGCTCGATTCTCCCCCAGCTTCAGGAGGAAGGAACAATGTTAAGGCTTCTAAGACTGTGCATCGCGCCTATGGTCACAAGTACTTGGAAGACGAGTCCTTGATTGTTGTCACTCTGGGGTCGAACGACATCCGCAGCACTGTCGAACCAGTCGAGCTCCTCCATCAGGGCAACAACACTTCGTTCTTGACCGAGAGCACAGCATTTTCGCTCGAAATTACATCAGAGAACGCGACTGCGGGTGAAAAGGTTATCATCGATCTGCCTCTCAAGGACTCGAGCTACCATGACAAGATTGTCTTTTACTCTCGCAACCCTGAGGAAACCATCTTGACATTTTCGGTCTATCCTACGTTCGGTAACCTGAGCGACAAGTTGGTCGGACGCGGAACGGCCATGTTGTCAAGTTTGGACGATCTGCGCAAAGATGTCAAGAAACAGCATCCTTCTATGACACCCTTGCAAGGAATGAACATGACGGTCCCTATCTTCGGGGTCGACAGCATGAAGATCATTGGACGAGTCCGCGTTGAGTTCACTGTCGTTCGCCCCTTCAAGCACGAGAACCTTAAGGTCGGAAGCAAGCATACTTACTGGAAGAGTCTCACCACTACCGTAAGTTTTTTTAACGTCGATCGCGCTGCAGGTCATTGGATGAATGTGATCGAGAATCTGCAGCAAAACTAACCCTCTTTTCACCATGTCATGCTATTAGGTTATTGGTCACAGAGGTCTTGGCATGAACCGAAAGGTCCCCAACCTGCAGCTGGGTGAGAACACACTGCTCTCATTTGTCACAGCTGCTTCCCTTGGTGCCGAATATGTCGAGTTTGGTGAGTGTACATGTCAATTGTATGATTTTTCGTGATGATAGTTAGCCCCGCATAGATAGACTACTAACATTTCCCCCTCGCCTCTATCATAGATGTGCAAATGACCAAGGATATGGTCCCTGTTCTGTACCACGACTGGACTGTGACAGAGACAGGCTTGGATATCCCTGTCAGCTCAATCACACTGGAGCAGTTCCAAAAGTTGTCGGGATCCAAGTCTCGCAACACACCGCCTGGTTCGCCCAGACCAGACTCGCCACCAATGGTGATCACACCCGCTCCTGTTTCTACGTTGGCAAAGCCTGGACTTACTAGGACAATATCGAACCACAATGGCTCAGAGAGTCCAAGTAAGGATGTGCAGACGCGTCTGGTCCGCTCCAACAGTTTGGGCGCCATTGCCAGGATGAAGGCTTTGACCCCTGCCTCCGAGCCTGCTAACTCTGCTGCTAAGATGAAGGGCAATGGTCTTGGAACCATCCAAGCACCCTTTGCTACTCTTAAGGATACCTTTGAGGTAAACACGCGAGTCATCATTTTGTCTTGCTAGTTGCTTATATGAATGGTTCGTACCAACACTTTGTTCATTTTTCAAACGCGGTGTAGACGGTGCCTTCGCATATTGGATTCAATATTGAGGTCAAATACCCCATGCTAGATGAAGCTGAGGATGCCAACATCCCATTATATTCGTTCGAGTTGAACCGGTTCGTGGACAGGATCTTGCAGGAGGTGTACGACCACGACCAGACCCGCCCTGACCGCAACATCATCTTCTCGTCATTCCATCCAGACATCTGTCTGTTGCTCAACATGAAGCAGCCCAACTACCCCGTCTTCTTCCTGACGGACGGCGGTACCTCTGTGATGGCGGATCGTCGCTGCAACTCTATCCAGAGCGCTGTCAGGTTCGCGACGTCGATTGATCTGCTGGGTATTGTCACGGCTTCGCAGCCGATTATTGAGGCGCCTAACCTGGTCAAAGGGATCAAAGAGACGGGCCTGTTGGTGTTCACGTATGGCGCGGACAATAACGATGTCGAGAATGCTAAACTGCAGAGGAGGCATGGCGTTGATGCAGTTATCGTCGACTGTGTCTTGGCTGTCCGCAAGGGTCTTCAGCAAGCAGATTAGAGAATTGGTTATTAGTATTTTTTAGTATTATTATTATTATTATTATTATTATTATGGTACGCTAAATATGTAATATCGTATTATTTGGCAGTGACTTGTGGCTCGTCGTCGTCGTCGTCTTTTTCGAGGAGGACTTTCAATGGTGCGGAGGATTGGTGGATGTCAGAGGCTTGTGCACGGACCTTGGATCTGCGCTGCTTCTCGAGACGGTGTTCTTGGATGGCAGCTTGTTCTTGTGCCCACTGGGCGATCGAGGCTTCTTTCTCTGCTGGGTCTACTTCAATATCACCGCCGGCGCCAGGGTTCCTGTCGCTGCTGATGTTGGTGGTGTTGGACGTGGTATCTTTGGTGGGTGATGTTGGTGAGAGTAGTTGTTCTCCGTAGAGAAGACGTGAAGTGAAGGTCTTGTCTTCGAATGATGATAGTGTGGGGAGATTGTAGTGTGCCTGTCCGTTGCTGCCGTTGGGTGATGTTGGTGATACCGGGACTGGGTATCGACGACGCGGTGGTGGCGGTGTAGGGAGAGATTTTGATGGCTGTTGTTGCTGTTGATTCTGCTGCTGCTGCTGCTGCTGTCCTCCCACAGCCGCTGAAGTCGGTGTTGCAACCGCAGCTTGGAAATGCTTGAACAGATCATGCGAGGACTGGTAGGCTGATATGACCGGATTGTACTGTTCATCAAAGGTGTCATCGACGTCCATGATATCAATCATCTTGTCTGCGTTTTCGACGACGGCTCGTTTCTGGATCAGGGTTTGTAGTGCTGTGGGAGGGTCTTCTTGGATGATTTTGGAGAGGGCTGGGGTATCGAGGCGGATGGCGGGTGGTTGTTGGGAGGTTGGGGTTAGAGGAAGGGGAAGAGGTGGTGGAGGGGTTGTCGGAGGAGGAGGCGGACGGAAGGGTGGTGGTTGTAGGCGGTGGGTGCGGATGGTTATTGATTGCACTGCTTGTTCAATGTCGTTATCGTTATCCTCCTGCTCGGGGGGAGAACTGTTGAAGGAGGGTTGTTTGCTGTGGGTATGTGTTGTGCTCGTAGGTGTTCGTTGCGGTGTGGAATAGTATGAAGAATTATCCTCGGGTGCTGTAAAATCGTTGGTGAGGTGCAGGTGTGGGTTGGACGATGGGGGTCTGCGATGTGATGGTTCTGTTGTTGAGAGGAGGTGATTTTTTTGCTGATGGTTGTCAATAGTGATTTTGTCTGTTGGTGATGGTATAGCTGTACCGTTGTTGGCGTTGTGGTTCTGGGCGAGGTTGGGAAAGATGCTTTCGGTGGCGTTAAAAGGACGTGTCTGAGTCTGTGTCTGTGTCTGTGATTGTGCTTGTGTCTGCGCTGAAGGAGAAGTCGCTCCTGCTTGTCGCTGCAAATGATGGTGATGGTCATGCTGATCGTTATGCTGAGGAATGGTATCCTCATGAACGATATGAACGTCCGACAAAGTAGAAATAGCAGACGACGTCTGACTCTGACTCTCGTGCGAGGAGATGGTCGTAGGTGAGGCAATTGAGATCTCTGGCAACTCTGGTATTTGCACGGGCGAGAGAGATGATAGTGCACTGGGGTTGGAAGAATTGGTCAAGAGCCGGAGGAGATCTCCATCCTCGGGGGTTACGGAGGAGGTGGTTTTGGAGTGGGATGGGGATGGTTGAGAGGATGGGAAGAGGGATGAGGATGCGATGGTGTTGGTGTTGGTGTTGGTGTTAGTGGTCTTGTGGAGGCCCTCTTGGTCTCGAGGGAGCATTTCGGGCGAGTCGCACGTCATCCCGAAGATGGAGGTGACTAGATGGTCGTCATTTGATCCTCCTCCCGTTTCTCGGACTTCGTGGCCAGGTGATGGTGGGAGGTGAGAGCTGCTATGTGTTGTTGAGGTGTGAACAGGGTTCTGTAAGGAGATCTGGGATCGGGACGCGTTTGTGGACGGGTTCCGTGACACGCTTCCAGAATTCCTCCCATTCTCACCTCCTCCTGTTGTCGCCTTAGAGTTTGCTGTAGCTTTCGTAGCAGCGGTCTTGACCTTGGTCTTGGGTGGCCGTCGAGCACCACCACCGCCGCCGCCGAGGTTGCTGTCGCTTGACGAGAGTGGATCGGCAGGACGTCGGTTGGTCCCCGAGTGCCGTGTGAACGACGACTGTCGATCGCGTTGAATTACTCCAGTATAGTGCAGGGCCTCAGTTGAAATGGAATTATGCAACTCCAGTTGTGGTTGTGGTTGGTGTACGTGCAGGTGCGGGTGAAGTAAGGTAGGAGTAAGTGTCCCGCCGAGGAACCGAGGAGTCTCAAGGCCAGACGATGGAGAAATCTGCCGCTGCCTTTGTTGTTGTTGCTGGCCGTGATACCCATTCCCATTCCCACCACCGTTACTACTGCCACCACCACAAACGCTCGACCCAAAACTATGCTGATACTTTGGCGACCTCGGGATCTTATGGGCAGCACGGCTCCCTTCTTTTGCAGCACCCGAGAACCGAAACCGCGCCTTCACCAACCAACTCACCCCCGAAAGCACCACAATCCCCGCCACGGCCGCAAAGGTATAGTTAAAATTCGAGATGGTGACGGGGAAAGTCGTGGGGAGCATGAGGACGGCAGAGAGGAAGAGGAGCCAGAGGATTGAGAGGGTTTGGAGGAGGCGAGAGAGGGAGCCGAGGGAGAAGGGACCTGGGATATGATTTAAGGAGCCTTCTCTCGTTAGTCGCAGCCATAGCGGGATCACTAATGCAAAAAGTCAATAAATGTGTGTTTTGTATATATGTTAGTAAACGCGCACAGGCCAGGTCAAGCAATGAAAGAGTCTACATTTTTCACCGCAAAAGAAAAAGGGCTACAACTTACCAAAACTAAGATTAGTAGCGACACAGGCAAGACTAGCAATCCAATGGAACGCATTCCTATCTCCCCAATAGAACGGGAAAATACCCGACATGCAAGCAGCCGTAACGAGCCACGAAACACGTTGTGGGGTCTTGCGCCGAGATTGGAGGTGGTTCCAGTAGGACGATTTCGGGAGGCCTCCGTCGCGGGCGAAGGCATAGGTGACGCGGGAGGCGATCGAGAGGCGGGTTAGGCCGGTGAAGAAGATTCCTGTCAGGATTAGGGCCACGAATGTTATTCCTAAAGGTCTTCCTAGTGTCATCTTTGTAGTGACAAAATATGATCAAATATTAGATATAATCGAAAGGTGCTAGCGAAGGGGCAAGGACAATTGGCGAAGGAAATAAAAATGGAGAGGTAGGACATACGAGGATTACGTCGACGGCTGGGACGGCTTCATCGAGGAGACCCTTGATAGGATGGAGGATACCATAGTTGAGGCCTAGGACGATAGGAAAGCCCAAGATGAGACCGACTAGACTCGACATTGTCACCAGCCTTGGTAGCACCTTCTCTGGCCTACGACTCTCCTCAGACTACATGTCACGCAAAGAGAAAAAAGCCGAAAGTTAACTTAGTGGCTGCCTTGAAAAGAAGGAGTGCAGATCTATGGACGCACCCATACATAGAGACGATGTTATGAGGTACAATACCATGCGAACGACAGTATCCTGGGGGCAAAAGACAAAAGAAGCCATGAGTGTGGAACTGAGGGCGGCGTAGACGGCATTAGAGTTTCCAGAATAGTTCAGGAATGTGGTGAAGGGGACGTAGACCCATCCTGACTCCACCTGTGCGTGTGATATGAGCGCTATTGCGAATGCTACAATTACCCCAACAATATATATCCCTACCGTGCAAGAGTAAGTTGAAAGAAAGAAAGCAATAAGTACTCGCGTTCGACCAACAACACGAAATAGAAAGAAACAAAGAACAGAACGAGAGAGAGGAGTTACCAGAGGCGGCAGAGATGTATCCAAACCCACGGATGGGGAACAAGTTAATCGACTGCCAGAGCAACACTGCACCCAAATGGAACATCACAAGTATCCCCGGCGTCAACGCAACCTTGTGGACAATAAACAGAATCTCCCCAAGCACCGATGAGAAATAAAACGCGACCGAAGAAGCCGAAGCAACAGACCCAGCGACCGTCAACCATCCCGTCATCCACGTCAAAAAAGGTCCCCTCCGTGTCGACGCCAGCTCATAGACCCAATGATGCACACCCCCCGTAGTTGGGTAGGCGGAGGCAAGCTCGGCGAGACAGAGGGAGACGATGAAGGACATGGTCCCGATGACGAGATAAGACCATGTTGCCCAGGCGGGTCCGCCGTTGGTTAGGGTTAGGCCATAGAGGGTGATGATCCCACAGAGGACGTTTGAGGATGCGAGTGCTATTCCTGTTTGGCTTAACCAGTTCAAACTCCTTGACATTACCTATTGGAGATAAGGGGGAAGATTGTTAGTTGGAGGGCTATTCCATTTCCTGGCTGTTAGCGAACAACAAGCAACAGAAATCAATTAAGTGTCAATTTACCGGCTTGTATCCGAGAGATATGAGGTTATAATCATCCAAAGTAAGAAGCGAAGTCGCTGACCGGACCCTAATAGACCCTCCGCCACCTTCACTTCCACCAGGCTGTCCGTTTGAACTATGATTATTGTCGCTGGTGTAGTGTGAGCTGCCGTCGGTCCTGTATTGCGCCATGACCACGGACGGAAGCGCTCGTAGGGGTGTGTCTCCTCCTCCTCCTACTTTCAGATGTGCCGATTCGACATTTTGGAGCGGTATTGGAGTTGGATCCGCCATGTTGTGATAATTTTTGTTTGTAGAATGTGTGTTTGTGCAGAGAAGGAAAAGAGGAGGTGAATGGTGTGTGTGTATTGTGTTGTGGGTGGCGAATATGTGGAGTGTTGGTTCGAGGGATAGTTGTGGGGTATATAGTTTATGGATATGAGGAGTGAGAGAAACGAAAGAGTGGAATGGATTCAGAGAATGGTGAGTTTCTGCAAAGAAGGCAGCGGACCGGAAGGTGAGTAAAAAGACGAAAGGGCGAAGTGAGGGAGAAAAAGAGGAAAGAAACAAAAACAGACATACATACACTTTTTGCGCAGGGTTTCCACAATCCATAGCTAACAAAAACTCCCCTCAAGGCAACCACAGGACGCTAAAACGAAGAAAGAAACAAAGTAGAAAAAGTGGATAAGACAAATATCAGCAGCAAGCAGCGATATGATCAAGTAGCGCATCAACAGGAAAAAGAGAACGGGCGGGTTAGTTGTTGGTCCATGCGGGAGTGTCCAGATAAGGATCATGGCTTGTCATTCGGTCTCTCGCTTGTTGTTTCTTTTTCTTGCTCTTCATCTCTAAACGGTAGCTACCTACTAGAATACCGCCCGTATTTAGGTAATTCCTATCATGAATGGAAGGTCGGCCCTCTTCCTTCGTCTATATCTCCTACACTTGCGTTTCTCGAAGTGTTTTCAGCCGGAAGTGGAGGGAAGGAAAGAACAGGGAGCAGTAAACGTAACGAACCATACAACAGACGATGTTGTCATTCAGCCATTTCTCGCTATTTTCTTTCTACTCTGCACTTCTCTCTCCTTTACTGTCTTCCTCCCCTCCCAACTGTCCAACCTTCGTTCTTCCTTGACTTTCTTGGCCTGTTTGTTGTGGTTGCTTTACTTGACGCGTTTTGTCGCATCCATCAAACTGCTCTTCTCGATATTTTGCACCTGGTTGGACAGGTTTGGGGCAAGCCACTGTCAAATCGCGTTTCTGATGATTCGCTAGTTATCTAGAAAACTCTATCCGTTTCACCTTTTTTTATACCTCTATGCCCCGATGGTTTCTTAACAATGGGCTGGGGGCTGCTGCTACGCAAGTATCTTCCCTCTAGGTAGTCCACGCTATTGTTGTCAACATTCCGCAGCAGACACCATGCGGTGGCGCATGTGGTTTCTTCGTAGGCCGTCTGTGAAGACTACAATGGGGTTTGCCACTTGGAGTTATGGAGTGGCAAAAGCACGATAAACAAATTCATTTGGCGTGAGAGAGGCGAGTCGGAGCACAGAAAAAGAGAAAAAGGAAAAAGAGATGGATGGTTCTGGGCCTGATGTGAGATGCACAATTTTCGCCTTTTGCCTTTTGCAAGCACATTAGGAAGAGGAGAGCCCGCCACGGGTCAATTGAACGTCCAATCGTTCTTTGGTTTCTGAACCGCAGTCTCTTGCTACAAAGTAAGTAAAAGTGTAAAGAGAGAGTGAGCCCTTCTTGCAGCGAGTGAGGGTGTCGATAGGGTCACCAAGTGGGAGGAGGAGTGTGCACTATGTTTTTAATTTGTATCTCCTCTCGTCTCCTCTCCTTCCTCTTTCATAAAACGAGCGGTCTCCCTTCTCTCTTTTCTCATCTCTCTTCACCCCTTCACCCTCTCATCCTTCCGACCATCACCCTCCTCACCACTTCCGGCATTCATTACATTACATTCCAAAAAGATGTCAGGAAACTTCAACAACAATAACGACCCCCGGTTCAGCCAGCACCGCCCCTACCAGTCTCCACAGCAGCAGCACAACAACTCAATGTTCAGACCCCCGACCCCTGCAGGCCAAGTCCCGCCCTTTATCGACCCCCGTTCCCTCCACGGCAACGGTTCTCAGTTTGGCCAACCTTCTCCAAATGGTAGATATCCTGTTCCCCCAGTCCGGTTCCCCGGTCATCAGTCTCAGCATGGTTTTCCTAACCGCCCTGGAGCTCCCCCACATGTCGGAGGGCCTGCACCCGTGAGCGGTCCTCGACCTGTTCACCAGCCTCACCAGTTTCATGGCCAGCAGCAATACCAGCCCTTGCCTACAGGACCTGCTTTTCATGCTATGGTCCATGCTCAGAATATGCAGAACATGCATCATATCAAGACGTCTAGTACAGGAAGCAACAATGATAACCTCGACCGTCAAAGGACCAGCTCTCCAGGACCTACCAGTCCCACACAACCCCCAAGCCGTCAGTTGCCACCCATCCCTTTCGACAAGGTTGCCGACACTATGGAAGTTATTGATGGCGCTATCAAGTACGGAAAAACCATGAGCGACATCAACAGTCTTACCGGCAACAGCAGTAACAGCAACAACAACAACAACAGTAGCAGTGGTGAAAGCCGTACCTACCAAGGCAGCGCTGAAAAAGACGACGAAAAGCCATCCACCAACCGGTCCTTCCACTCAGATTTCGAAGACATCAAGCGCAACGTCGAAGCCCTCAGGGACCGTTCCGACGAATCTGAACTCTCTAAGGTGGTCGACCGGGGTGTCGAGTCTGTGATTGCCGCCCAGGGAACCATTGCCATCGGAACAGCAGGCATCAAGACGGGTATCGCGTTTGCCAACAAGGTTGTTTCCGAGAAGGGTCAGGCGTTTGTCAACAACATCGAGTCGAACCCGGCCCTGAACCACCTTGTTCAATTGGCGGACAAGTTGGTCGATATTGGCAAGACCGTGCCCTTTATTGCACCCGCTTTTGTCATCCTCAAGGTTTGTTGACTTTTTTTTTTGCTCTCGTTCCTGCATCGACTTTATTTTACTTTCAATATAGCCGAAATTCGAACCTAACTTTGTTTTTTTTTTAATGCTTGCTTACGATACACCTTGCATTCCTGGATACATACATAGCTCATTATCGACGTGGAGCGAACGGCCAGAGACGCCGACGTCAAGTGCAACGACCTCCTAGAGCGCATCAACTTCATGGTCAGCCACCTAACCGTCTTGGAACGCGTCCCGGCCATCGACCCTCTCGTGGCCGTAATCGAACGGATGAATCAGAACCTGAAACGAGCCGCGTCCTTGATCCAGGCTTACCGCAAACAGGGCAAGATCGCCAGACGGCTGAACATGTCGAACGGGGCCAACTTTGAATCCATGGCGTCTAGTATTGCGACCTGTTGTCAGGATCTGATGTTCAGTTTGCAGATTCAGCAGACGGGGGATATCTCTGTGTTGTCGAGATTGGTTCCGTCGGATGCCCAGGATGAGGAGGCAAAGAAGTTTGTTCAGGCTAACGGTGGACAGGATATCATCAACGTAAGAACTCCTTAAGCTTATTTGTATGTGTTGCTGAGGCTGTCTTTTTCTTTGTCAAATAGCGAAATACTGACAGCTTGTGGTTCAACGTAACCCCTCCTTTGACAATAGAACAACCCAGCGTTAGTAGAGGAGTTTGCGAAAAAGATGCACCTGACGATGAGCAGCGAGGTCATGGAGCAGATGCAGACCAACATGGAGGATCTTATGGAGGAGAACCAATCTCGGATCGAAGCCCTCCTTCAGGAAAACAGCAGCAAGACCGTCGCCGAGACCATCAAAGCCATGGCCTCCCAAGCTCGCGAACAAGAGGCAGAACAACGTCTGACCTGTCTCCAGTGCGACAAGGAGTACCGCGAGTCTGCCAATGGACCTGAGGCCTGTTCGTTCCACAGGTCGAGCAAGATCGAGGATTCTTTCGCTTGCTGCGGGAAGGCGAGCCCCTGTACGTACTCGAACCATCGGTCGGCACACCATTGCGAGTATCCCTATACCAACTTCTTTGGGTACGTGAGGTCGATTCTGGGGTATGTGGATACGATCCAGAGGTGGGTAGAGATCTCAGAGAAGGACCTGTTGACGGATAAAGAGCAGACTGTGTCGGTTAGCAAGTTGATCCGGTGGAAGTCAAAACATGACAGGATCACAAAGCCAATGATGGTCATTCGTGTGGGGAGGATCTATTATGAGAGCAAGTATTATTTCCATGTCTTTGATGCGGAGGCGATCAAGGCTGCGAACGACAAGGTCCGGAAGACAGGGAACACGGTCATCTTCAAGTCGACTGATAGTCTGGATGAGTATGGACTGGCTGAGTGGACGTTGGATGATGTGGGGGTTATCAATGGAGTCAGGGTTGCCGTCAAGGTCACCACCAGCGACAATCCTGAGATATCGGTCCTTCCACTCGACATTGACACCGTCTCGCCCTCGGGAGAGGTTCAGTCGATCTCCAAGGCAGTGTTCAAGGTCTACAAGCCCGCCGAGCCATACAAGTTCCCAGAACTCCGTCATGTCGGCCCTACACTCCGCGCAACCGCCCTACGCGAGGTCCGCGAGTTCAAGCCCAAGACCAAGCTGCCATTGGTGATCTTCCCCGAGGGCAAGATGGTCGCCAATTCCCGTGGTCAGTTTGTCCGAAGCAACGCCGACAAGTTCCAGGGCACTCTTCGTCTCTTCAACAAGTCTTCTCCAACCAACCAGGACTTTGTGACCTTGGTCTCTTGCAAGGCCGAGTACCGTCTTGTCGGCGAGCAGGAATACAAGGATGTAGAGACTTTGACTCTGGAGAATGTCAAGTTTCCGGCCTCGATTGCGCCCAACCAGTCGTTGGAAGTTCCCTTTGAGGCGATCGTCCTCCGCAACGCTGCCCAACAAGCGTTGAGACAGAACTGTTGGAACTGGGCCATGATCGCGCTGCACAACCCGGTCCGCATCCGGTTGACTTTCAAGGACATCGAGGGCGAGGAGTTGGTTTATGTCCAGGAATACGTCCACAAGCCGTCGATCCGGGTCGCCGCCAAAGAGGAAAAGGATCTGTTGTTCCTGTATATCGACGACATGCTCGACTCGACTCGGAGCGCGATCCGAGTCAAGGAGGACGAAGCACCCTTTGTGGTCGACGTCAACTATACCCGCTTCACCGTCGGCGACCTCAACAAGATTGTCTACAAGGCCGAGAAATCGGGCCAGACCGAGGTCGATCTCAAGTGTGGACGGGATGCGGGGTCCTACAAGTGGGATGCTTGGGCGTTGGTTGATTTGAGCTGCAGACGGGTTTATGGATTCAAGGTGTTGTTGACGACTGGGTCTACTACGGAGAAGCGGACTACTGCGACGTTGGGGTATGCACCTTGCCCGTTGTATCCGAGTGGAAGTGGGAATGATGCACAGTCAAAGGATGTCATGAACATCGATGATTTGGAAGAGAGACCTATCCAGTATGCGGTCGAGACGGATGTCTTTCCAGAAGTTGAGCCTTCGGAACCGTTGAAGGTTGTCGAGGATGATGATGTGGATGACGAGAAGGTCGTGGTTGCTCTCGATGCTGTCCCTGTATCTGCGGTTGCGATTGCGGCGGCAGCGGCGACGAGCGTCACGGCGGCGTTGGGCGAGGTGTCCAAGGCGACGGCATCCTTGGATAGTGCAGTCTTTGCGGGGAGCATGGCGTCGCTAGAGAAGCGTCTCGAATCTTTGGATACCAATGTTGCCCGTATGGCCACCGCCCTCGAGAAGCTGGTCACCATCCTCAGCCAATAAACCCCACGTCTTGTTTGTCTTTCACAAATGATCATTCGCTTGCCTGCATTAATTTTGTCTTGTATTTCCATTGTTTGATGCTATCCCTTCGACCGTTGCCAGTCACAAGGATAACTTGGTAAGACCTGTTCGGGGTCTTTACAATTGTGAAGGTTAAACGCTGGGCCGAAGGAGAGAGATCGGTCGAGACTGATCGAAAAGCCATTGCTCAGCGATCAGTGCAATGTTGTGAGCTCCAACCGAGTCCCTGTTGATCCATCGACCACAGGCGAGGCAGACACAAGATCTTGAAGTCGGCTTTGCCATCCTGGAGGTCTCTCCTCGGGCAGTGCAAGCTGGGCAAACGGTCGAGGACAGATATTCATCAACCAAAACGACAATGTGGCCATGTGCTCGCGCCTACGTTAGATAGAAGATTGACGGTTATTGAATGGTCCCATAGCATAACGTTGACAATTGAGCAAGTAAATAATTGTTTGTCGCGGCATAATGACGGTACCTTCTTGGCAAAATGACTCTGTAATGTCTCATGCTTGGAAGCCAAGTTTATCCCCGTTCGAAACTTGCCGTTGCCAATAGCAATAAGACACGGCTCCGGTCCACAAAAGCGCAGGATTGCAGCCACAGCCATATCCAGTTCGGCACGAACGGCTTTCTTCTCCTCCCAGGCGGCTTTTTTCATGCGTAGTGAGCCTTCAAACTCCCGAAGCAAGGGCTCCGTAGACACTCTGACACGAACAGCATCCTCGAAATCCTCCACGGTTACTTGGCCTTTTGGGGGCAAACAACTTTCGATCTCCTGGATGGACTGTACGTCTGTACTGGCTCCCTTTGGATCGACACCCCTCGCCCAAATTCCTCCATCGATACTCTCGCCCGGCACCACTTGAAGCTTCCTGTTTTTGACTCTCTCTCTTTCGGATCGCGCTGCAGTGGTGGGAGAATATAAAGCTGCTCGACGTATCATTAGGTTGGTCACAGGTGGATCCCCTGGGTCTGGTGCTCCATTCCACTCACGTTCGTGCTCGATCAGACATAAAGCCGCCGTCACCAACTCCCCAGGGTCCCACCCGCGACACTTTGGTATTTTCCCCTGGAATATCCTGGCGATAGCGTCCTCGTCAGGTAATACTTTTTCGATACGCATGACTGGGTCCAGGGCTCCATGTGGCTCGTGTTTGGTGTCGTAGGCGAGGACCTGCAGCTCCAAGCCGTTACTCCGAATCATATTGTTCAAGGCATAGCGTGATTTTGTACTGGGGTTGGCGGGAAACTCTGGCGGTGATTGCGTACATGGTACTCCCTCATCCCGACAGTTCGCAGCAACTCGAAGGTAGGCCAGCTTCCTGTTACAGTAGTCCTGCAATGACCGATAACCAAACCTAGAAGGATCACCTTCCGCAAGTTCTGCCATTCTTGTCGTCCGTTTTGCGTAGGGTGTCCGTCTCAGGTCTGGTCCTCCGTCGTTGTCGTGGCCAACGGGTCTTCTTCGCCCATAGAAAAGCGTCTCAAGCACTTTTCCATAGTCCGAATCAACACAATCCGACGCCTCCGCGCGACTCAAATCGTCTCCACGATCGTCTTGGCTGGATTGTTCCTCGCAGTTCCTCCCCATAGAATTCTCCACACTGCTCGCTCCGGTATCATCACAAACGCATCCCCAAGCTTCGGCTGAGGACAGAACACAGGTCGCTTCTCTGCAGGTAGCGAGAGTAAGTGGTCCCACCAATCCCTGAGAAAGCCCGCCTTGAACTTGTAGCATCCGTCGTCGTCGGCCGCATATTCGTCTGATCCCAGGGGCTCAGTCGTTGGGGATTCGTCTAGAGCGTCGTCGTCCTGCTGTCGTTGGGCTTCAGGAGGCACGTCTCCGTCAACGAGAGGTATGATGTCTTTGCTCCATCCCAGTTTTACCATCTACACAAAAGCGCGGGTAAGACATTGTTAGAGTACGAAAAACATTTTGACATTGCATCAAACATAACTCAAACAAGAAAGAAATAAATACCTTTCTAGTGACAGTAGACGGTAGCTTTCTGAAGTGTGTGTGGAGACATACCATCGTGGCAAGTCCAAACTCCATCTGCATGTCGCCCAGGGGGATGTCGGTAGTGTTAATGGGCGAAAAGTGGGGAATGATCGTCTTGTATCGGGCATAGACCCTCTGTGCGAGCTCTCGAGCACGGATGGACTCGGACTTCTTGCACTTTTTCTCAACAATCTTTCCATTCAAGGCCTACGACATTAATCCACGGATGAACATCTGACCGGAAGCCTTGTTCATCACCAGGTCCAGCAGATCGACATTCGTCTCCCCTGAGGCTCCTTGCGGGCTAAACACTGTTGTGACTTCTTCCAGTAAAAACAGCTGTATCATCCTGAACACGTGGGGACGAGCTTCATTGATCAGGCTCGTGGCCTTCTCCAGGCGGCTCGCAATGGTGTCGACTTGGTCATCAGAGATCCCGAGGGGTCGAAGGCTACGGCGCAAGCATCCTTTCAAGGAACCAACTGTCTGGGTTATCGTCGGAAAAGCAAACTTGAAAGCGTCCTTAAGTTTTGGTGCTGTTGGGGTTGCATCGATGTCGCGTGGTCTCGCGAGTTTTTTCTTGGATGACGCCTTCCGTCTTTTGTTCTTCGACGAGCGGTCTGTCGACGATGACGAGGATGCTGAAGGCGAATCTTCAACAGCCTTGGGCTGCTTGTCGACGGGTCGCTTTTTTGGTTGTGACGGGGACATTGTCGACAGTTGATTATCAGAAACAGGGGTGGCTGTCGACGGATCACTGACTCTGTGGGGAGAGTACCGAACCTGATTGTCAGTGCGAGACTTGAACCTAATTAACCACAAAAAATAATAATTAGAGAGACTTAGAAACATTTCCATAACTTGTGCAAACCCGGAGACGTCAATGTGATATTGTCTTACCTGGATTTCCTCCATTTTTTACGTTTCCTGTTCCTTTTCGCTGCCTCCCGGCGAGCTCGCTGCGTTTTCGCTGTCCTGGTCCGATTTACATTCGTTTTGGGAGCCGGCTTCTTGTCCTCCATCGGTGGTGTGAATCCCATTGCCGCACGTGCCTGAGCCTCTGCAACCTTCTGGTACTCAAGATCGAGCAGTGCCCTCATGACAATCTCGTGCGCATTACAGTCTCGCTGCCCTCCCTGCTCAATCGATGTGTGCTGTTGACTGGTAAAAGGCTGAGGGTGTGGGTTCTGATCAACGGAGGATACGGCATCTTCCTGGACGCCCACAAAGGCAGATAAAGCATGCTCGAAGTCGTCAACCGTAACCGATAGCTGCGAGTCGATTCGTTTTCGTTTCTTCCGAGGGACTCTCTCGGAAAGAAGCTGGTGTCGCACTCGAACGAGAAACTCGTGGACGTACCAATGAAACGATTCGACGTCAGAGCCGGGTAGCTCCATTTCCCGAATAATCTCGCAGATCTTCTTGATCCCGAAATATGGCACTCCCCGGGTGTAGTCGTTGCCCGTCACAACAGCCGCGAGTAGTAAATGCCGCTCCGAAGGCAAATCGAGGACCTCCAAAATCGCATCCTTTTCGAAAAGAGTGAGCTCTCTTGACTTGCCGATCGGATACAACACTCTCGGCACAGCCCCGAAACAAATCAAGTCCGAATCACCGGAGACAACAATGATGTCCTGGGGATTCAGAGACTGGGCACAAAGCTTGGCAATGCAAGTATCCGACTGAAAGCGGCAGAGGCATACATGGCAATCGTACTTTTTGATCAACTCCGCTATAACTTCTCCTTGAATTACTGTTGTTGGCTTGTAGAGATTCCTGCACCGTTTGTAAGCAGCCTTTCGACGGGATCCACCCACCACACGTGCTTGTTCGATTGCTTGGTGAAGTGCGTCGGTGCCCTTACGCAGCTTGTCGTCGCGAGCTCGGTGCTCCGCCTGTTTCTGAATGGATGGCTCTCCATCGAAGTGAAGGGTGACAGATTCGTCTTCGGGAGTACAGAACTGAGAAAGCTTCCTGTACAGTTCATCTGCAATGTGACCGAAGAACTATTTCAAGCAAACGACGACATAGCAAATGATAATTAACTAATCAAGTAAATAATCACCAGTGGACCCATGCTAAATCCCGCATTCAGTCCTCAAGAAGATTCATTACCATAACTCTCTGTTGGTCCGTGCCATCCTGTAACATCCCATCTTTGTCAACGACGACAGAGTCGGGGCTGTTGGGTCCACTCGTCACCATACCAAGCTTATCTTTGAGACCAAAGAGCATGTTCGCACGTCTCAGAAGGTCCGCCTGGGCATCGTTCGGGTCTGGAGAGGCAGAGTCTGTCGACTCGGGTCGCTCTGGCGCATCCTCCATCTGTGGCATGTGCAGGTTGGCGGGCTCGGTGTTGCGCGTCAGCGTGGTCGTGTACTTTTGTACGACAGAGTAGGCTCGCGCCTTCATCTACCCGTAGTAGGTACCGTTCATGTCGACGTGAAATTCCTTGCCGTTCATTTTCGCCGGCGCAATGCCCGTCGCGTTCTTTATCTCTCCTGGGAGTCCGTTGACGCCCATGACTGACTGTAAAGGAAAGAATGAAGAAAAGCTCATCAGAAGATGGAAACAAACACCACATTGGGCGGACAATGTCGGCGGATTTGAAACGTGATAATACCTTAATGAAGCAGGGGCGTGAGCCGTGCGGATGTGTGCGTGTGCGTGTGTGTGTGTGTGTGTGTGTGTGTGTGTGTGTGTGTGTGTGTGTGTGGAGGGGTGGGGTGGAGGTCGCAGTGATTGGATGTCAGAAGTTGGTCGATTGAGTCTAATTGGTTTTTTTGTTTGTTGACAATGACGTCAGTACATTCCTTTTGGTTTAAAGGGTGGGAAGTTGGCTGCCAATCACAAAAAGTCAGCTTACTGTGGCAAGGTTTCTGGCGCGTGAGCAGTTGATCTGTTGACAGAATGAGGTAAAGTCGGCCATGGGGTTAGCGAGGTCCTGGTATTGATTGGTCATCCAAGCTGACGC